TCCACCTGTGACCTGTTCTGCCCTTCATGAACTGGGTCTCTCTGACCCCTGAAGCAGGAAAGCTTGGTACTCAGTAGTACTTTATCATCACATGGAAGTAGGGTACATGTGGTCAGGAGAGAGCAATCCTGTTGTCCTAAGTTATATATAAGTGGCCCTAGAGCACAGCAGGCCTTGGGCCCAGCCTTGCCGCCTGTTCTACACAAGCACGCACGTGTGACCTTATAGAAGGTCCCTTACTATTCACTGACAGAGGAAGAGAGGACAAAGATAATGCCTCCACTGGCCGAACTCTGAGCAATACCCACTCTTCTCTTAGAAATGGCCAGATAGGATGGGCCTTCAGCGACTCCGGGGTTAGCGTTCACTGTGCATGCAAGAAGACTGTAGTTGGAGCCTCAGAATTCATGTAAATGCCGGGCAGGCATGGCAGCTCTACCTGTAATTCCATCCTTGGAAAGCAGAGACAGGGAATTCCCTAAGCAAGCTGGCCATTGAGGCTGGCCAAATGGATGAGCCCTGGGTTTAATTGAGAGAGCCTGGCTCAATGAGTAATTTGGAAGAACACCTGAGAAAGATTACCAAGGCCAGCGTCTACATGCATGAGTGTACATGTAATATGTGCTCTGCACACGTATGTGCACCCATACATTTGCAAGCATGAATACGCACATGCCTGCTTGCCACACATGAGACACTTGAGGAAAAGGAGGGGGATGAAGAAATGGCCACACCTGATTGCATACCAATCCACACTCTGCAGCCAATGCTTTGATCAATGGAAAGGCATATAACTGAAAGAGGAGTGACAAGGAAATTTTGGGAACTGGTCTATGACTAGAACTCTATAAAGCGACCCAAAAACCCCAATAATACATGAAATGTTCACGAAAGGTGACCTCAGAAGATGAAGATTTTCATAACCAAGGTTAGGATGATGGTCTATCCTGCGGACACCAAACAGTTGCTTCCCCCAACCTCTTGATGGGTTAATGAACAATAGAGCCATGGTGGCAGAGATTAAGCTTATGCCTGGACTCAGTAACATAGGCTGATCTAGCCACAGTCACCTCTGGGTAGCCAGTTTGCCAGCAGCAGATTCACTGATGTGACATTATTCCCCAGGGAGGTCAGCTAGTGACCTGGCGACAGTTTAAGTAAACTGAACCATTTCCACTATAAAGGGCCAGTGCTTTGTTCTGATCAGAACAGACTTCCTGGCTACAGATTACCTTCCATGTATGCAACACTTCTGCTGGAATTGCTGTCTTGGGACTACCGGAGTGCCTTGCCTACCCCTAGAGCGTTCCACATAGTGCTGCTTCTACAAGGAACTCACTCCAGAGCCAAAGAAGCAAAGCTCATTAAACTCACTGGTTGTGCCACTTTCCTGAAACCCCAAGGCAGCTGGCAGACCAGAATGGCAGAATGGCTTTTTGCAAATGTATTTACAGCTCCAGGCAGTTGGTAATAACTTGTAGGGCTGTGGTTGGGCTTCAGGGGGCTGTGGGTGATCTGAACCAGGATCCAGTACACAGAGCAATTTCTCTCACAGTCAGGACTCACCCATCCAGGAATCAAGGGGAAATAGGAGTCACACCAGCCACTGTTACATCCAGGGATCCATTCAAAATACCTTTGCTTCCTGGTCCTTCCACTATATGCTGTGCTAGCCCAGAGGACTTCATTCCAGAGGGCACTGAGAATCTCCATTCAACTAGAAGTGAAGAATTACTCTTCACCTGGCCACCTTGGGTAGATGGGTTAAGAAGAGAGCTGCAGTCCTGGTGAGGATGGGTGACCCAGGCCACTACAAGGAAAGGATACTGTTGTGGTACCATTAAGGTAAGGGCTCTTGTCTGGAATATAGGCCATTCCTTAGGGTATCTCTTCATTTTAACATGCTTGTAATTAAGGGAAAGGGAAACTTTAGCAATCCGGTTCAGGAACACGGCTAACAGTCCAGACCCTTCTGGAATGAAGGTGCATGTTACCCCACCAGGTAAAGCATCATAGCCAGGTCATATGAAGGTATAGTGAACATAGAGCAGGTAATGAAAAAAGGTAATAATACCAGTTAAGTCCACTTAGCCTATATGGAAAGGAAGGGCACTGTAGTTGTCATGCATTCCTTATTTTGTTTTGAATACTTCTTTTGTATAAATCTGTCTATATGTGCCACCTAGCTATAATCTATCTATCTATCTATCATCTATCTACATTTTATTCCTTACTTATCTCCTTATATACACAAGATAAATTAACTTTAGGACTAGGGAGATGGCTCGTGTGGTTAAGAGGTTGTTTTCAAACATGAGGAGCTGAATTTGGTCCCAAGAACTATGTAAAATGGCAGGCATGGCAGTGTGTGCTTGCAATCCCTGTGCTAGGGGAGACAGATGGATCCCTGGTGCTTACCAACCAGTGCTCAAGTCTACTTGACAAATTCCAGGCCAGCAAGAGGCCCTGTCTCAAAATAAAACATAAAAAAGGTAGATGATGTTTGAGGAAGAATCCTCAAGGCTTTTCTCTGGCTTCTACCTGCATATATACTTCATGTGTATGGCACACGCACGAAGACAAACAGACTTCACATCATTGTATTCGTAAGCACTGTAATTTGGCATCACGGTTTGTAAGCTGTGGGGAGGCTCAGGCAGGAGTGGAGATAGCATGGAAAACTATGCCCTCCCCAGTTGTGTGTGTATAGGTTAGTTTTTTTTTCAGGTTCTGCATAATTAAAACTTCACATGGTCTTTATTTAGGGATTTGATATTTCTGAGGGAGACCAACTTGGCTGTGTCGTTTGCTGTGAGCAGATTTGTGATGGCTAACCTCACACAGTAAGTTGGCAGGGCTGCAAGATGCCTGAGCAGGGGAGAAGTTAGTATTAAAACTGAATGAAGAAGAGCAGATTTATCCTCATGGTCATTTAGTCTGTCCGTGTTCAGGGAAGGAGAAGCAAAGATGGAGCAGGCTTAAGCTGAATGGGATTATCCTCCATCCAGGAATGTGCCTGGTTTTCCCTCCCTCAGCTGTGGACTGGACTCTGCACCATCTGTTCTCTGGTCCCAGGCCTCTGATCTATGAAGTAAATTTCCCCTCACTCTAGCTTGCAGACCTTGGGACTTCTCACCTCCCAAATCATTGATAATAAGCCTCTTAACTATCCCCTCCTGGTTCTGTTTCCCCGAAGACCCATGGCTAGTGACATCCAAGCGGAAATGGATGTTGGATGAACACCTCCCACGAGAGAGCTAAATGTACCTGCTACTTAGCTGTGTGCAGGTGGACATTAGGAGTTGTGGCTGGAACCCCTCAACCCACTATCAAAATGGAAGAGGGCTGTCACTGAAGACTTGACCTTTGTTCAGGTGAATGAGCTCACTGGAGTCCACTTGGACGACAGTGACACACCTGGGAAAATCTCCCTCCAGACTTGATGGTACTGAGGAGGGCCATCTGCTTTATTCATTTGTTAGTGGCCGTGGGACCCAGACCACAGCTCCACGCTGTCACCCACAGCACCCAGTTTTATTATTTATTTGTGTGTGTTGTGTGTGTGTTTATATGGAGGTCAGAGGACAACTTTAGGAGTCAGTTCTCTCCTCCTATCACGTGGCTTCCAGGAATCAAACTCCAGGCCTCAGCCTTGGTAGCAAGCGCTCAGCCATTTCCCAAGCAAGCCCCTCTGAGGAGTCTTTTCAGGAGCATCCACTCAGTTGAAGCCGACAGTCTTGACTCTGCCATTGAAAAGATGTTCAGGATGAGCCAGTATGAAGTAAAGTTGGAGATTTTATGAAGAGACTTCTTTAGGGCCAGGGATGTAGTGCAGGTGGCAAGGGAGACTGCTTGCCTAGTATCTGTGAAGCTCTGTGTTTCATCCCAGAATCACATTTAGAAAAACAGGCAAGGTGGAAGTGCACACCTATAACCCCAGAACTGGAGGCAGGAGGATAATAAACTCAAGGTCACGGTTGGGCATAGTGGTACATGCATTTAATCCCAGCACTTGGCAGGCAGAGGTAGGTGAATCTCTGAGTTTGAGGCCAGTGTGGTCTATGGGCACAAACAAAACAGCCACAACAAAAAAAAGAGTTCAGGGTCAGCCTGGGTTACATGAGACCCTGTCTGAGGCGCAGGGGAAGAGCACACAGAAGGAAAGGCTAATAAAGCTCTCAAAGCTGGGTGTGGCTTCTCACAGACAGTCAAGCATTAAGAGTTTACAACAGTCATATAGGCAATCTGAGTGACTCCTGGAGTTCCACTCATAGGGTTAGGTGAGATAAGTGAAATAATGCAGCTTCCGAGGTTAGTGTTAGGACTGCAGCCCACAGGATAAAACTCTGGGTCGCAAGGTTTCACAGAAGTCAAGATGTTTTTTAAACAACAGACCAAAAGTATATCATCCCTGTTTGTGAGAGTCCCAGACCAAAAGAGATCAGGTTACATCTGGGAAAGGAATAAGGCAACACTAAGCATGGGTTCACTGCTGTTTTCACATCCTCATTTGAAACACCTTCCTATAAAATGCACATCAACTGTACCCTGGCGATATCCACAGCAGGTGCCAAGTGTGCTGAAATTCTGATCTGGCTGGAGAGGTTTCCACCCATCATACCTTGGAGCAAGGGGCTTCTTTCCCTTCTCACTTCTCTCTTTCTATCCTGCCTCAGGTCTAGGGCTGATCTCTTTCAGACATGCATACCCTTAGGAACATGGGCACTAAGCACCTTTCCAGAAAGAACCATGGAGGAGTGGGAGGGGGAAAGATTACTAGGGAAGCAGGAAGGGGCTGGCAGTCATGCTGGGCATGGTTCTAAAGCTCTTCTACCTGAATTTTAAGTTAAAGCCACGGGTGTTGACTTGTGTGCAGTGTGGATGTATCCAGTGTTTTAGGGCAGCAGTACTTCAATAGTGCCTGTTACTAAACGGGGGAAAATGCTCTCATATCAGTTTTTTAAGGGCGGGGTCTATTCTTTAAATTGACACAACAGATCAACAGGAGAAAAAAATCATTTTTAATTAATGTGGCCATGGAAGGGAGTCCTGTAAAACTCCATAAAATCCTCAACCTCCAATGCCCTTCTTGTTGTGTAAACCTTTGATCCCAGCACCTGTGAGAGGCAGAGGTAGGCTAGCCTGGCCTATATAGCAAGTTCCAGGACAGCCAGGGCTAGCTAGCTACACAGTGAGACCTCGTCTCAAAATATAAAAATCAGTATGAGTCTTTTGAGATTGCCCACAGCTTAACCTTATATACTCCACCAAGTGATACAGAAAAATAGAGGTTTGCTTCATGGGTATCGTGGAGGCAAACTCTGAGGGTTTGGTGAAAGCAAATAGGGATGGGTTAGGCGCAGGGGGGGTGGGGGAGCCTGGAGAGAAAGACTGGGTGGATAAAAGTTGCCATAGAACAGCTCTCTTCCTGGTTACAGACACCTTTACAAAGAGGCCATTTTTGTGGTTGTGAACTGCATCCTACAAAAGGCGTAGTTTTTCTGGGCTCCTCCAGTGTCTTCTTCAGTTTCGGCAAAATCACCAGACCGCCAGCCACTCCGCAGGTGTCAGACAGAGAGAGAGAGAGCTGCTTAGAAGACTACTCACCTGAAGTAGTGGATGACTTGGTCTCAGAGACTGCAGAGAGCGCACTCCCCCTCCTCATTTCTGCTCCACCCTCGGTACAAATAACATCCCAGGCCCTCTGGAAGCTTCCCAGGGAACTTTGGGGGCTTCGGACCCAAGGGGTTTTCTTTGGCCGGAAACCCTGGGCACACTAGGGAGGGTCTTCAGCTCGGGAGCTGAAACACCTACACTAAAGAGGTGATGTTGCCAACTGGATCCTGGCACAGAGGCCTCCTTGATGTTCTCACCCTGCTGGGAACTAGCAGCTCCTGGGCTTCCTAGGGACCGGGTTAGCGCTCCCTTAGGTCTTTCCACTGCAGTCCAAAGACAGCGTCGCGCCGGGACCCAAGCGGGCCCTTGGGCCGGGACCTCGAGGGTGCGCTGCTCCGGAGGCCAGTCGCTGCCAGGGAAATGCCTTGGGTCCCTTCAGGTCCCGCCATGTGGGGGAGGAGCGCGCCCTGGGTTTCCCTCGGGGAAACTCCTCCTCCTTTCCCCGGACAGCCGCTCCTGGCCGTCCCCTCCTCCTGGCCGAGGTGACCCGGCACCTGCGTTTAGGGGTGTTACCCTGGCTCCTGGGACGCCACCTCCGGAGATTTAAGCGAGAGCTGGGGGGAGGTCGTGGACTTGGGGCGGAGGAGGAAGCCCAGAGCTTGGGCGCCGGCGGAGAGAGCCGGGGAGCACAGCAGGTGAGCAGCAGGCGGGAGAAGCTCGTGGTCTCCGCACTGGGTCCGGGTCTGGGAGGGGAAATGGGGTGCCATGGGTCCGCCCCGCGGTGCCTGGCCGGGGTGTCTAGTGTACAGTGTGGGTTAGGCGAAGCCAGGACGCTACAGGTGCGACCGTCTGGGGTATTGAGTGTACTAGGTGCGCATTCTGGGGACTGGGAGGGGTGCCTGGTGACCCAGATCCCGTGACTGAGATCCCAGGTGGACTCCAAAGATTGGGGCTTGGTTTATGGTCCTGCCGGCCCCAAGCTAATGGTTTGGAAAAGAGGGTCCCTGGGTGTGGGGTTCTTTGGTGGAGCAGGCTCCTGGCTCGTATCACCTGCCTGTATACAGTCACAGTCCCTTCCTAGTACACAGAGGCAGAGATTCGTCCTCAGTTCTCTTTGTTTCGGGAAAATCTCGGCTGTCCCGCTGGTTACCTGAACTCCTTCCGCTCCTTGGTCCCTACCGAGGTGGAGAGAAACTGGAAACTGGTTGAGATGCCGAGGACCGATATAGGCGCCGCTGTGGGGCCCTGGGGATCTTGTCAAGAAGCGAACAGCCCGTCAACCGGGGGTAGGGAGTGCTCCAGAGGTCCGGTCCGGTGACCCGGGTCGATGGTCCAGCCCAGGCCGCCTTGGCCCTGAGCACTCACTTGAGCGGACCCTGGAGGAGCTGGCACTGGAGAAGACGGCCCGGCTGCCAGGGGCGAACTGACCATTCAGGAGAGCACATGCATCTTGTCGGGTGGGACTGGGGATGGTGGCAGAGTAACAGAACGTGCTAACTAGACAGTGGGCACGGTGCGTGAGGACCCGCGAGCCCAGTGGTAGAAATGAACTGTCCCAGGGCCTGAAAGTTTGTGTGTCCATGCCCAGAGGGTGTGGGTGGCTTGTGCCTGGGCTTTTGCTTGCTGAGAGTCCCAGGCCCTTCCCGATGGCCCTTAATTCAGTTCTGAGCGCCCAGACCGGTGGCAGCTAGTTTGGGGGAGGGGAAAGCAAGCATGGCAGCCCTAGGTGGGTCTGGAAAGCAGGCGACCCATCAAGATTGGGCTTGAAGCTCTTGCACGCAAATACTTAACCTTACTTAGTCCTGGGGTTAAGATAAGCCATCCAGTGCCGGCCTGAAGGAGCCGGGCATTGTGGAAAGTTCCAAAGGGCAGGCTGCTTAACAAGGTGTTCTGAAAATCTAAGTAAGGTGGGGGTTGTTTACCTGGCTTGGGAGGAGGAGAGAGGTTCTTCTGCTGGTGAGGGTAACAACCTCCTGGCAGAAAGTCTGGGGGGGCAGTTTCACCGGGGACACCCGGGCTAAAAGACCCCAGGCCGTTAAGCTGCTGCCAGTGGTGGGTGGTGAAAGACCTCCAGGTAAGCAAGGTGACCTACTCCTTGCCTTTCCTGTGCTTCTACTGGTGAGGTGCTTGGGTGTGTGTGTGGGGGGGGGCTTCTTCCAGGGACCTTCATAGGATGTTGGAATGAACACTGAAAATCCAGGTGTGGTGAGATTCATCTTTAATTCCAGAGCTTAGGAAGTGGAGACAGACACATCTGGCACTCTGTAAATCCAAGGCCATCAAGGGCTACCCAGTGAGACCCTGTCTAAAGAGAGAAGGGGTGAGGGGAGACAGGAACTGGAGTGTTACCAAGGCAGGAGACCAAGTGCAAGAACTGAGGGTCTTCTCAAGAGCTGGGACCTCTTAATGGAAGGCTGGGCCTTGCATTTCACTCTAGTGTTTTTAGGCGTCTCTGGCTTATGTTCTCAGTTCATTGCCAGGTTTGGTCCTAAACGTGCGTGTACGCATGAGCACACACACACACACACACACACACACACACACACACACACACACACACACACACCTTCCAGCACTAAAGTCTTGGAATCAAATACAGAACCCTGAGTTTGCTTGCCAGTGGCACTGTAGTCGTTGGAGGAGGAAGTTTGGCCACACCAGTGCAATAGCTGCACATGATGGTGTGACACTTTATTTCTTCTGGAGGGATGGCATAGTGAGTTTTTTACAGACTGTTTGCCTCACCTCGGCTTCAGGGAGGCTGATGCAAAGGGCTAGGTCGCTTTGTCTGCTGCTCCTATGAGACAAAGAGGGCAGAGTCAAGGCAGACACGGGCTGGTTGCCTCAGTAGGTCAGTGCTGCAAGCATTGGACTCTCAGTCGAAGATGTCTTTGTTGACTTCTGCAAAGAGTTTCAATTCTTTTTTCCTCCCCTTAGTCCTGCAGTCACAGTGTAGCAGCAAGTCACGAAAAGTGGAAATGAAAACTGAGAATGAAGTCTAGGGGATCTGAGTACCTCAGGTGCTTCCTAACCTCATATCCCCAACTCTTTCTGAAGCCCCACAGTGACCAGGGCCTGGGAATTACTTAATGGGCCAGAAGACTGAATCCCTGGATTATAGGGTGGCTGAGTGACAGACACTTGTGCAACTATCCTAAAGGCGATGAAGCCTGGATATATGAAGTATGGCATCCCAGCACCAACTTCTTCATTGTCTGAGTGGACTGCTCCCAACAATGAGCCCAGCCTGGGGCCAGGAGCTACCATGAAATAGAAATCAAGAATCTAGTTGACTCCATCACTCTTTGCATTTAAGTATTGAGAAAGCTTAGGAGGGTGAGGGGGTGTTCCTTATTGAGGTCATTGCCCTGCTTCTGAGTGCTAGTGCTCATCAGCCCTGAAAGCGGAAACCAGGTTTTGTAGGCTCTGTTGAAAATTTCGTGCCTGGGAACTCCTGGTCAGCCCAAGCACTGGGCATTAAGGAAGAAAGGAAAGGTGACTGACTAGTCAGTCAGATGGCTGTTCAGTTTGGGTTCCTGAAAGACTGGAAACTGTCCTTGCTGGTGGGGAGGGCAAAGGAATCATCTGGGGGTGGGCAGGAGAGCCCCCAGGGAGCCACACAGCTTGTGGCTTTCCATCCATTGCTTTCACCCAATTGTTCCCTCAGCTGTCCTTAAGACTAAAGTTGCTAAGTCTTGCTTGCTCAGGTTCCTCCCCACTTTCTAGAATACTCCCTAGGGGCCCTTCCAAGCTGTCCTCTGGACAAGCTCAGGGACCTTTGAGGGTCAGAGTTCAGGAACATCATGATCCTAAGAGCTGAGACCTGCAAAGACTGGCTTGGGGAATCTTTATGTGCAGCTCCAGGTGTGGCGGACCTGGTCATGAAGGAAGTTGGTTCATGTGCACCCCATGCCAGGAGCAGATATGGCCTAAGCTTGCCTGTGGGTTCTTGGGGAGGAACATGGTCATTAGAATCTCATCTGATCACAGTGGCCACCCTAAAGGATGACCCCTGGTGTAGACCTGGGATTCTGAAAGGAAGTAGACATGGACCCGGGGCTTGCTTCTCTCAGCAGGTGATCAGCAGGAGAAAGAAACAGGAATGCATAGGGGTATCTTGGGCAATGGTGGCTCTTGGGAGGAGAATACATGTGGGACACTGGAGGGCATGTATATTGTCAGTGACCTACACTGTGCACAGGGTGGACTTTACAGAGGTCAGGTGGCCAAGACAGTCTTCTGTTCTCGGTGTAGGCAGTGGGGGAGGGGAGGAAGTCTGTATGCCTTGCTTGTGTACACAGGTGAGCCATCAGACATGGGGGCTTGGGCTCAAGGAGCAGGGTGTGATGACAAAGAATCTAGTGTGTGAAGTCCAGCAAAGGGCTGTGGACGTGGAAATTCACGCAAAGCCTGTGGGTAGGCAGAAGCTTCCACACTGACTGAGGAGTGACAATTCAATATTTTCACTTGAAGTGAATTGGTAGATGAAACAAATCTGGCTTTGTTATTGCTTGTTTGCCTAAGGTCCTTAAATTTATGGCCCTTGCTTTTCCAACGGGTATCCAGGCAGGTGACTCTGAGCTCTTATCTGAGCTCATATTGGGCCTGAATGATCTGACCTCCAGGACACAGGAGGTGATTTCTATGGACCACAAATTTGCAGGTCCTACTAGACAGAACTCTGAAAAGTGTTCACGTTGACTGTCAACAATATATTATAATGAGTCGGTAATGACTTTAAAGGTCACCATGTCTGTCCTTTCCCCTAATGGCTAGTCATGTCTGTTCTAGACTGGAAGGTAGGGTCTCCAGTCTTGGGTCTTGTGCTTTGAGGACTGTGCACTTTCCTAGCGGTTCCCATAATCAGCTGAACTTTTGTGGGAAACTTTGTTTCCCTGGGCTCAGTCAAAGCCTGTCTTCTGGCTGGTCCTTAATCCTGAATAGCCTCTGGGGTTCCATGGCTTGAGTCAGGTCTCTTTCTCCATACAGTGATAACATGAATACTGGAAGACAAATTCCTGTGATATTGAGTTCAGAGCTGGAGAACATACAGTTTTACTCAGTCTTTATATCATTCCATTTATTACTCGATATCCTCATCAAACTGAGGTTCCCTCTTCCCAGATGACCCTACCTTGTGTCAAGTTGACAAAAAATTAAGCAGTACAAGCACACACAGACACACATAAACACATCATACACACACACACACACACACACACACACACACACACACGGATACAAAGATAGATTGGAATAATAATAATAAAAACTGACTTAATTCCCACCCAGAAAGTTTGTAATCTCCTTGGGACAAGGAGGCATTCATAGAAAAAGAAACTCAGATGATGTGGGCCTGCCTCTTCTGAGGTGTTTTGTTTTTCTTTCTTTCTTTCCCTCTGGTTACCAGAGTTGGCATTCTCAATAAGCCTGACCCAGCCACCCATCTCTAATACACCAGTTAAAGAGACAAGTCATAATGACCATCAGAGAAAGGAGAGTGATCCAGTGTGGCCACATTGGGAAGAGGAACAAATAAAGGGGTCCAGTGACCCCCCCAGTACAGTTTTGGAGGTCCTTACATGAGATCTATGCTTAAATAGAGGGCAAGAAGTGTGCATATTGAAGCAGTCCTGCTCAAGGTATGGTCCCACAGGATCTGATCCATCTTTGGATCAGCTCCAGTCTGTCTTGCAAGGTGACTGTATAAGTTGTCAGAAGTGTGTGAAATCTCACTGTGGGAAGCAGATTTCTCTGGTTGGCACCAGGCAGGCTTCAGCTTTCTTCCTTCTTTACTGTGGAATTCCTGAGGAAGTCTTAATTCTTCCAGGTCCACTTTTTCGGTGGTCTGAAAGAACAAGTGTCTCTCTTTAAGTACCTTCTCCCTTGCTAGGGCAGAATCCCCATGGCCAGTGCTTACTTGCACTGAATGTTTCAAACCTCCACTGAATACTATTGACTAGCTTTCTCCTAACAGCGCACTGTGTCCGTAAGAAGACAGAGTGTCTTACAATATGATTTGAGCCATAGTTTTCTTCTGTGTGTTTATTGTCTGCACAATGTCTGTGATGATGGAAGGTGGGACAAAGGCACAGATTCTGGGGATCCCCTCCCACCTCTAGCAGCTTGAACAGTACCTTACACTCAGGGAGGCTCATGAAAGAAGCAGCATGAGGTGGTGTGTGATGACATCAGTGGACTTCAGTCATTTGGGCTGAATGTAAGTTAATACCAACAAGTCTGCCCTCGTATGTAGAGGAAAAGGCTACAGGGCAGCTCTTGCTTGAGAAAGAGTTTTGTTCTTTTATGTTGTGTTATGGGATGAGATTGGACTCCACAACATTGTCCCATTGTGTGACAGCTGGGCAGGTGATTAATGGGCTCATATGAGACAGCATCATGAGTACATGAGGCTGCCATCCTGGGATCCTTAGGAACCTCCTCTCATTTCCTTTTCTGCCCCTTAAAGGACAGTTTTCCAATGGGCTTCCTTATGACTGGCTCTCCAGGGTCAAAGCCAAGCATCGGGGTTCTTTAAATGACAGGGCAAATCTCTTGTCTGGTTGTATCTTTCTACTTTCAGAAGTCAGTGCGTAGGCATGATAGCCCCATGGATCTGTGGAGATCCCTGTTTAGAAGATGACCAGGATTGAACGTGATTCTCTGGCTCTTTTTGACACACCTTTGTGGAATTGACTTATTGTGGGCATGGCTCCTTTCATTGTTTATTACAAAGTTCAGGCTACCCTCTCCTTCTCTTCCAAAGTCCATGGGTCGTTGAGCTGGATCTTCTTCACATTTCTGGCTTCCGTGTTTTGTGGGTCATGGGCTTTCTGGACAGATTAGGAGTCTCTGCTGGCTTCTACCTCTGATGGCTTCCTCTTGACAATTCACGACTGGGCTCCCGGCTTCCTCCTTGCATGAATTTCAAGCACCAAGTCATTGCTCCTTTCAAAGGGCTCCGAAGCTGGGAAAGCTGCCAGTGGATCAGATTTTCATTTCCTGAAACTTCAACCAAACCCATAATAGGTGTAACAGATCATCAAGCTAGCAGGAACTCAGAAAAGTGAGAGCCAGTACAGGTGGGCTCTTGGTCTGGCTAGCCATGCTTATGGGAGGAAATCAGGATGTACCAGGTAGACATCCAACCTTAGAGTCTGTTATTTACAAAGTGGTCATAGAAAAGGCATGCTAGTGGGTGACGGTTGCACCATTTTAACAGGTTTAGGTGTTTCCCACACATTTTCATGGTGGCTCTTCTCACCCGTATGTTCCCCCACTTTCCTTCCTCATACCCGGAAAGCTGTTTGACTTTAATCTTAGAAAAACTAGAATCTCTCAACATGACCTGGTTCTCCTATTTGTGTGATCAACAAGTGAAGAAAAAAATGACTTGGTGCTTATTTACCATGATCTATTCAATGTTCAAGGCCATTATCATCTTTCATTGCAGGTTGTTGGTTTGGGGGGGGGCTTCTTTTGTTTAGTGATCCAGGTACTGTAACTTTGCTTAGGAGATGAACAGGTGGCCTCTGATGCTCCATTCAGAGACACTGAATTTTGAGAGCAGGTGAACTTATCACTAGAATGCCAGTACCAATTTGCAAGTGTTGAAGGGGGAAGCTATGAAGGAGAGGCTACCCAATACTCCCCACGAGTAGCCTTTAGAATCTTCTTTGGTGGTGTTTGGATCAAATCCAAAGTCCCCTGAGTGATTGGCAAGCATTCTACCGCCATGCTACGTCCTCAGGTAAAATTACTTTTTATTTAACTAAGACTAAGGTAACACTGTGTACCAACACCAATCATGTTATTGCTAATTTACTCAAGCTCCTGAGATTAGTATACTCTCTTATGTATCTTGAAAAAGAATTGAGGTATAGGACCTTCCTAGGTCACAGTTATCTGGTGGATAGGTAAAAACCCCTCCTCCCCCAAGATGGTTTCTTAAATAGTCTTGGATCATTTCAAGTCCAGCTGGGAGGACTGAAGCACAGCAAAAAAAAAAAAAAAAAGAGGATATCAATGAAAAAAAATGCAACAACTCCCATTGAGGCAAAGTGAGGATCAATGGATTCAGGAGCATCTCAGCAGGTGGAGGGACCAGGCAGGGGGCTTTGTGGTGGGGAAGAGACTGTGGTTGTTCTCAGTGCAGCAAGAGAGAATGGGAGCGAACCTACAGCTGTGAAGCAGAGTGTCTGTGGATGGGAAATCCATAAGAGACAAGGTGGGTAAGAGGGATCTGGCTAGCCTGACTTGACAGTAGGATTCCTGCTGAAGGGAGGTCAGGCTCACCAGGTATCCTTCTGAGGATGAGAGAGGACCAGGAAACTATTGAAAATGGGGATCCTCAGTAACCTGGTTTATCAAGGTTTCATTAAACTAGATTTCCATGAGGGAGTGCAGCAAGGCTCCGAATCTCGATGAAAGTCTGTCATTGGAGGAAGACGATGGGAAAGATGACTTGCTTAAGTACGGGACTTGATGCTAATGGCATCTCTGCCTGTTATTCACTTTTCACACATTGTGAGATATGAATGACCCAGGGACTCTTCATAACCACACATCATCGAGGCGGTCAAAGTAGTTAGGTCGGTTTTGTTTTCTGGTAGGGATAGTATGGTTCTGTATATCATGCAACATTTCTCCCTTGTGATGGGTAACTGACAAAACAACTTACAGGAAAAGGCCTCATTATGAATCACTGTTCAGGAAATACATCCATCATGACTGGGACGATGTGACCCAGGACCACCTCTTGTCTGCATCAGTGGGAGCATGAAGCTGCTTGCTGTCATCCTGGTAGATCAGGAAGCAGAGCCTCCATGTCTTTGCCTTGCAGGCCTATAATTGATCTGTATGGGGTGGGATGGGATTTTGGCGTTTCTGTTTGGTAGTTCTTGTGTTTTTTCTCCTGTGAGTCTCCGTTTTGGGGAATGTAACTTGCAGGAGCCATTATGTTCCCCGGCTGAGAACCATATAAGTGTGGAAAGGCTTGGAATCCCAGGCTCCACCTTGGGTACTCCCCTATAGGCAGGGCCCTCTGCCTGTCCCCACTTCTTAAAGGCCAGGCTCTCCTGGTCACAGTAGTTCAGATTGTATCCCAGTCCAAGGCTATGGGCAGAACTGCAATGTGACTTTCACCTGGAGTCTTCCAAAACTCAACTGTATTGAAATATTACCGTGTGTGCTTCTTTCCTTTAGGGCACCTGGGAGAAGCTAGATACTCATCTCCTCATGCTGTTGACACAGCCAGGATGGCTTTGAACTCAGTAAGTGGTTAATTGTTAAATCTCTGTCCTTTTTCTTCATCCTTCTGTTATCTTCCACAAGTGTCCATCAGTAATTCTAAGAGCCACATGTAGGAGCAGGTGGCCCTTTGGTCATTGTTAAAAGTGTTTGAATTAGTCACTGTTCTATTGCTGTGAAGAGGCACCACAACTAAGGCAACTCTTACAGGACAAAACACTTAATTGGGACCTACTTACATGTTTGGAGGTTTAGCCCACTATCATCTTGATAGGGAGTATGGTGACATGTAGGTATTTTCTGAAGTGGTATCTGAAAGTTCTATATCCTGATCTACAGCCAGCATGGGCATTTGAAACCAAAGCCACACTTCTTAATTCTAATCATTTCAAAGAGTTCCACTCCCTAGTGACTAAGCATTCAAATATATAAGCCTATGGGGCATTCTTACCCAAACCACTACTGGGCAGAGACTGGGATTGATACACTGTGTGTGTTCCCTTCCTCCTTCAAGGGCAGTAGGTTCGCATACAGGAGAGACAGGATGGGGCAGAGAGTATCAGTTTAGGGAAGAGAGTCTGTGATCAGATGCTGTCAGTGTCTGCTGGTCAGTAGCTGGGGAACAGCCACACCTGGATGAGGCATTGGATAGTCCGTTCCTGCTGGGAGCCCACTCCTTAGAGTAATAAAAGCAGTTGTTTGTCATCCTTCAGCCTGAGTAGTTCACCTTACATCTTCCACATTTATAAATACTTACTGACTAAAAAGAACATTTTTCTAGGTTCTGCAGGAAAACATGCCAGCGTTCCCTTTTATGAGCCTCTGGTACTTTTTTTGTTTGTTTTTGTTTCTTTTTTTTTCTGGGTCTCTTTATACTTTTAAGAGCTCCACCAGGACAAAGTGCTTGGTGTGTCTTGTCCTTTCCTTCTGGGAGGAGAGCACACTCTTAGGCAGTTTGGATCTGGGCCAGACACTCACCTGATGTTCGAATCTGGCCCATTCAGATGAGGGATGGCTTTCACAGTCCTGCCACTCTGGCTTCGGGTCATAATCTTTGGGCTTCTGAGGGACAGTGCTGAGCTATTAAGCTTGTTAACCTTGGAGTACTCTTGTTGACGTGCTTAAAATTCTCAACCTTTAGGGCAGCAAGACAGCTCTATAAGGTAAGAGAGGACCTGCATTCCATCTCTGGGGCCCACAGGGCGGAAGGAGACAACTGGCTCTCACAAGTTTCCCCTGGTCCCTGTTTACACACATGTGCCGCACACACACAATGCATGAGTCAGCTTTAGAAATCTGAACATTTAGTGGCGCCTACTGAAGGTATCTGCTTCCAGAGGGTGATGCCTTGTTATTTCCTGAGGCCCCTGAGGGAGTCTGAGCAGAAAGGGAGCTGGAGAGGTTTGGGGTGAGAACCATTAGACATGGATTAGGGCAACTGGGACCTCCGGGAGGGGTCCAGCCACTGAGAGAATGAGGGGAGGGGAAACAAGAATGTCAAGCTATGAAGTCCTGAGGGACTGTTCGGGGTGTGACTCGGGAGTGCAGCCCTGGGAAGGTCGTGTGAAAGGATTGACACCCCAACAGAGGACCCCATCTTTGCTTTGACCCCCCCAAGTCCCCCTGAAAGGGCACCTGAGCCCTCTGCACCAAGATGCACACACTATACAGGGTTGCTTACTCTGTGCTGACAACCCCCTGGTGAGAGCAGGTGGGTAACTGGCAGCCAACTGCAGCTGCATGAGAGAAGGGGCCCTGGGAGAGAATGGCCAGAGGAAGGAACCTGCATCTTGGGTTCCTTCCAGCGGATTCTCAGCACAGCTGGAAAGGATGCATTTAGCAGGAGATGAATGCAGTCTCTTCAGCAGGTGAGTTCTCAGATACGCGCTGTTCTGAGTCAGCCTGGCTCATAATTTCACATCTCAGCGCATCTGCAGGAGGAACCAGATCAATGGGATTGTAACTCAATGACCTTTACCCCAAACTTGTATACATTTTTTTCTTTTCCTCTTTTTTTCCCTATGGAATCTCAATTACCAGTCATCTTTTTTCTTTATTTCAGAGAACAAATAATGGAAACAAGTGAACCGGGACACCAAAGCCAATGAAACGCACATTGTTGGGCATTCTAGTTGATTCAGACACAGAGTCTAGTCCTTCTTAGGGAGTTGTTGTAATGCCATAGCGTGCGACGAATATGCTGGCTCCCTCCCTGTCTTATGGGAACATAATGTGATGCTAACTTTCCAAGCTTTTAGGATGAATGGAGCTGTGACTGATTTCTCCCTTTTCCCATCATTCAGGGGTCACCTCCAGGAATCGGGCCTTACTATGAGAACCATGGGTTTCAGTCTGAGCACATCTATCCCCCAAGGCCACCTGTGGCTCCTGATGTCTACAACCCGTATCCACCGCAGAACTACCCACCTCCAGTGCCTCAGTATTTCCCGAGGGTTACAACGCAGGCCTCCACAACTGTCACCCACACACAGCCCCATTCCTCAGGAAAACTGTGCACCTCAACCTCAAGTAAGACTCTTTATTTAGCATTGTACCATGAGGGACTGCGGTTTCTGGGTGGGTCTGCCTTCTCTTGGGGGGTCTCTTATTCCCCCTGTATTGTCACTGACTGTGCACTGGCAGTGGAACCAGTCTTTTCTGTCCTCTCTGTGGCTGGTCAAAGCCGTGGTACAAGCCTCACCTCTCTTTGGCAGGGAGAGACCTTCCTCTCCTCTTGGCTTTTGGTGCAACACCACTGTGTGCTTGCCCAGCTCAGCTGGTCTTTTCAGACACAGTTTCTCATTCTTGCCTCTTGGCTTAATGGGTGTGTTGTCTTGAATCAATAGTGAGCACTCAGGTTAGGAGTCTCACATGTTATTGGTGTGCCCAGAACACAGAGGATTCAAGTTTAGGATACCTCCTGTGACTAACCAGAGAACTCTTACCACTCTCTCACCTATGCCAGTGCGTGCCCCCAGCAAAATGGTCTCCCCCCACGAGGGGTTTGTCTCCTATATCCTTCCTAGGGGAGACAGGCTGCCTCTCCTATGTCACGACTACTCTCCCTGTCACCTCTCTATCTTCAGCAGATACTCAGGGAGCTAGTCCCTTAGCTCCCCCGCCCCCCCCACGCAGCCCCAGAACAGTGCTGGAAATTGAGTGCAGAAGCTGAATGTCTTTACCTTATCCTTTGGCCCCTTCATTCAATGATTCCTTACCCCTAGGTCCCACCACCTTTTTGTTCAGGCAGATTTAATCAGTGTTGTCCGTCTAGCGCAAAGACAGCAGTGGCTCTACTGATAAGTTTTTAGGTTCATTTTTTTTTACTTATGTGTGTGAGAGCATGTGTATGTCACGTGTGTTCAGGTGCCTATGGAGGCCAGAAGAAGGTGTTGGGTCATCTGGAACTGGAGTCACAAGTGTTGTGGGTGGCTGTTAGCCACTCAACGTTGAGTGCTGGGAACTTAACTCGGGTCCCCCAGAAGAGCGGTAGATGCTCCTAGCGGATAGAGATCTCTCCAGCGCCGTACACTTTTTTAATGGATAGGTTCAGTTTTGTGAAATGAGCACCCGTCTGTGTGTGTCATGTACAGTTCTAGATTGGTAAGGAAGTGAATTCCTTGGACTACCTGTGACTTCATCAGCAATCAGGTGATAGGCCTTAGGCCTCGGGAATCTTTCTGTCCTACTTAGACCTTTCTGGCTCTCCTGCTGTCCCTCTCCTACTGCTGTCCCACTGCGTGATCTCTGTGTGACTCTTCCGTCCTTTGCTCCCCTTCCCTATCCTCAGAAACCCCCTTTTGTCTTAGCCCAGCCAGCGTCAGCTGGACTGAGGTCTTTACTCACCATGGTGGCTGGAAGAAAGCCAGGGTGAGGAACCTGCTAGTTGTTAGAAGCCAATGGGCCAAGGAAGGTTGCACTTCCAAAAAGACTGCCCTGCTGTTAGCAGTCAACCCAGAAGGCAGAAGGGCCCAAGTGCACCATACTGAATACTTCCACATTCCAAGAGAGTAATCAGGAAGTGACAGACAGGGGAAAGGAACATGTTCATTTTCTGTCAATTGCCTATCGGGGAAGGATACACCCTAGGTTGTAATTTTCCACTATAAACCTGCATTGTAAAACCTCTGATTGTGCTTTGATGAAATCGCTATATCATGACAAGGCTTTCCCACCATTAGCCTGTCAGACTGATGACCATGTCCCATGAACTGGAAAGTAGTTTAGTAATTTTATTTTATTATTATTTTTTTGCACTCACCTTCTTGACATGGTTTTTAAAATTATGTTACTGGGTCTGGAGTAATGATTCAGGAGTCAAGAGTACTAACTCTTCTCACAGAGTACCTAAGTTCTTCTACAACTCCAGCAGGAGGGGAAACCAATGCCATCTTCTGGCCTCTGAGAGCATGTGTGTGAGCACACTCACGCTCACACGTGCGCGCACACACACACACTCATACATATACCCTAAAGAAAAATGTAAAAGAAATAACATGTTGGTATGTAAGACATCAGAAAGTCTACATTTTTTTTTGCCAGAATGGTTTTGAGCTCTGAAGCGGTGTCCTCCGTTATGTTGGCAGCACTGATTCAGAAGTGAGGAGTGTAAGGACATTCTACTTTGGGTTTATCTGTTTGCTCTAGCAACTGTCATGGAACGTTCCCATTTGAGTGGCAGTGCATGCACCTGCAAGAGCCTTTGAAGAATTCAAAGTCAACAGTCCTGTGTAGCCGAGATACCACAGGGCTGAGCCAACAGGCTGTGTTGGTAAGGATGGATGTAAATGAACAGTGGCCCAAGACTGAACCCTGAAAATCTATGCTGTGCTGACTGTAGCTGGTGACACATGCCTATCCAGAGGTGAAATGGGGACTTGCTGTAGCAGACATGGTCCTGAGCAAACTAGCCAAGCCCCAACCAGAACTGAAGGACACCTGATTAAATCTCCCTTACTCAGGAGCCAAGTTACTGATTTAGTGTTTGTTTTTGTTTTTTTTTTTCTGCTGAGCTAGGTTCCTGGACATGCCAGGCAAGTGCTTACCTCTGAGCCACATGGCCAGCTTTAAGCAAGTTATTTTATCTCAGATACAATGGCATGCAGATAAGTTGCCCAAAAAGGAAAATGTGCTTGGTTATTTATCAAGTGAGCCATCGAGACTTTCTCCTGCGGGTTTCTTGGTGGCTCCAGCCTGGCGCCTGAAGGCACAGTCACCCCTCACTGCGTTTTGATAAAATTGCTGCCTGGTGAAGTTTTTAGACCTAGGGCTCCACTGTGAGGCTACTGGGAGTACAGGTTGCCCATTTTACCATAGGAGCACAATCCCTATTGATAGGAATGAGGACCAGTCCCCAGGAACTCTTTGAAAGCCTTTATACCACCAGCAGGATGCAGTAACCAGATGAAAGCAAGCCTTCCAGTCCTAAGCAGATCAGTTTGGGTCTTTTGGCTCCAGAACCTGACCTGACCCTGCCCTGCTGACTTCTGGAAGCATAAGTGCACGTAGCAAGGATCCACAGATTTGAAGGCTCTCCCTAGCCCGGGAGTGTCTGTTGCAGTGATATTTCCCTGTCCTGTTTATCTACCTTGCTTCCAAGAAAAGCTCCAGGGACCCCTGAGACTGACTGGCTCCTCACTGTCAGAGACTGGGTGTCAGATACTCCAGGGTCCCTTTCCCGACATGTGGCTCTCTCTTCTGAATCTTGATGCTACTTTTGACTCAAACCTCTACTCAGTAGTGCTATCCCTGTTTGCTATGGCTGGAGAAGTCAGTGAAATATTAGAAAGTTCTTAGCTGAATTTGTATTCTTATTTTACGAGTGCCTGCATATACATATGTCCACCATGTGTATGTAGGGCCTGCAGAGGCCAGAAGACAGCACTGGATCCCTTGGAGCTGGAGCTAAGGACAGTTGTGAGTCACCAAGTGTGACCTGGGAACTGATCCCAGGTCTTCTGCAAGAGCAACCAGTGCTCTTAGCTACTAAGCTATCTCTCCAGTTCCTTGCTTTGCTGTTGTTTGCTTGTTTTTAACATTTATTTGTGTGTGTATGAGTGTGTAAGGGTTCAGAGTAGTCTGTTGGATTCAGCCCTCTCTGTCTACTGTGTCGGTTCCAAGAACAAAAGTTAGGCCATCAGATTTGGCAGCAAGCTCCTTTACCTGTCAAGCCGTCTTGCCTTCCCACTTGTGGCAACTGAGTACTCCAATTTATACACTTTAGTTTAATCCCTCTTAACTGTAATTTCTGAGAGTAGCAGTAAGTGACTAGGGGCTGTCAAATACCACTGGGTTCTTCCAGCAGCCATGGGAAGGATAGGTGTTTTGCCTAGAGCATCCCCTGGCAGCCCCAGGATGCGTTGAGGGCGGGCAGTGTAATATGACTCAAACTTGCAGTTGCAGCTCTCTTCTTTGAGCTGTTTTGTGTGTGGTGTGTGTGTGTGTGTGTGTGTGAATATTGGCCTATTTTCAGACCCTTCCTGTGTTTTAGGAGCTTAGTGTTGCTGGACTTCATTTCAAATTGTAGCTGCAGTGTTCATTTTCCCCAAGCATGTGTTTCACACTATAGAAGCATCAAGACCCCAAGTGGTGCCCTTAACATTCAAAGCTGACATTTGTAAGTGTGTGGGCAGTACTATGTCACAGGGTGGGTAGAGCACTTAACTAGCATAAGTGAGATCCTGGGTTTTCTCATTAACAGCACAAATACAAATATAAATCAAGTGCTTGTTCTTTCCTAATGCACCTAAATGGTCCCATGTACGGTAGCTAAAGTGGGACTTTTAACTTCATAATGGTGTGAAATCGTACACATAAAAGCATTCTACTTTTCAGTTTCAGTGTGGTATTCAATGAGGTGTGTGCAGAATCCAGCACTTTATTATGAACAGACATCTAGCTGGATGGTTTCCCCAATTGTAGGTAATGTTAAGAGTTCTAAACAGGTTTAAACATGCTTAAGTTAAGCTGGGCTGTTTTGGCAATGTGTAGCAAGTGTACTTTGGACTTGGACTTCTGATCTCTTCTCCCCTCCTGCTTGTCCTCCTCCCCTTCGATGTTTTGGGATAGGAGTGCATGTATTCTAGGCTGGCCTTAAACTCCTGTGCCTATCCTCCTCACTGCCCCCCCCACACACATACTGAGTACTGGGATTATAGACAAGCACGTGCAGTTATGCCCAGTTTGACTCGTGATATTTTCCAAGTTGAGTGACTCTGTGGGATATTGAAGAACATCAATACTTGACGCATGGTGGAAGGACTGTCTTTTCACAGCACTGACCTGAGCATTCATTTCTTCTGCAGAGACCAAGAAATCGCTGTGTTTCGCCCTTTCCCTGGGCATTGTCCTTGTAGGTGCTGCTGTGGCTGCTGTCTTGCTTTGGAAGTTCTGTAAGTGTTGGGCTGAGTGCTGCCACTATATGCGTGGCTATGACTCTGACCCTGCCCACAAGACTGGAGGAGCCACCTGATGCCTCCCAATTAGATTTTCCCTCATGGGCAAGGCTGCCCTTTCCTCTCTTTTCTCCATGCACTCACGAGTCTGTGTTTTGCTTCGCGTAACCTGTGACTCGTGGAAATCCTAAACTAGCCCTCCCATTCAAGTACCAACCGTGCTGTACTCCCTTCTGAGCATCTGAGATCAAATGAGAGGTGGAGCATGTTTGAGAAGGCGTAGCCATAGCCTGACCCTTGCTTAGCTGTGCTTCCTTGACTGGCAGTCCCCTCCTTATACCACATCTTGTAACTGAAGTCCCTGTAAGTAGCCTGGGATGATGCAGACTTACAGGCACCTGTTGGGCCCCTGAGGCCCACTGGATGGTAAAGAGGAGGTGTGAGGGCTCCCTTTACCCAAGCACCCTTCCCTTTGGCTCTGCAGAAGACAGTCCCCAGTCTTAGCTCCATGTGTGTGTGGGTGACAATGACATGTCCTGTTCTTAGGAGGAGCAATTCCTTCTATTCACTGGGTTTGAGGGTGGATGACAAGCTTCCTATGGGCTCTGCAGTTTCTTGAATGCTCAGCCTGATGAGTCTCCCTCCCTTTCTTCCTATCCAGTGCCAGGGTGCTCTACATCTGAGATGGAGTGCATGTCTTCAGGCACCTGCATCAGCTCTTCTCTCTGGTGTGACGGGACATCACACTGCCCCAACGGGGAAGATGAGAACCGGTGTGGTGAGTTGGCTCAGGAAGCACTGGGCTCGGTATGTCTGCCACAAAGCAGCAGCTGGGGGACAGCCAGGCTGGGTACTGCCCAGCCAACTGGTCTATGTCTTAGCCCTCCTATGCTCAGGATTGTGTTCCTGGCCTTGCACTGCACAGAGAGATGGGGCGGTGACAAAGCCAGGAAGGACTCAGTCAGGACCTAGTTAAAATGAGTAGGCTGTTGAAAACATGAAGTTGGAGTGTACTATACTGGTTTTAAAATGAGCTGCCTTTAAGGTCATGTCCACTGTGACAGCAGTGAACAATGTATTTGCTTTTTTTTTCCCAATTGCTTACTTAATAATTGACAAGCTGAGCTGGTGTCATGTTGTCAGGTACAGTGTGATGTCTATACATGTGCCCCGGGGATGGGGTAACCATACTACTTAACATACATCCCCTGTACTCTTAACACTTACGGTGGACTTGTGTGGTCTGTTTTCAAATGGACAGTGTGCTGTTACTATTTATCACTGTATTGTACTATAGATCTCTTGAATCCATTATTCCTGTGTAATTAAAAATTGTGTATTTTGACAAGCTGTCCCCAACCACTTCCTCGAAGCCTCTGGTGACCACCACACTGATCACAGCTCCAGTGAGTTTGACTTTTAGATTCCGTGTGTGTGTGTGTGTGTGTGTGTGTGTGTGAGAGAGAGAGAGAGAGAGAGAGAGAGAGAGAGAGAGAGAGAGCTTGTGATGCTTGCCTCTCTAAACTGGCTTATTTCCTTAGTGCAGAGTCCTCCAGGTTCATCTGTATTGTCCCAAGGGGCAGGATTATAGCCTTTTTATGACTGGATCCTAGTCTGTTCTGTACACGTACTACACTTCTTTGTCTACGCACCAGCTGATGGATTCTTAGGTTGGTTTCTAGAAGTTGGATTGCTTGATCATGTGACGATTCCATGCTAGTGGTTTCAAGGAGCCTCTATGTTGTTTTTCATCATTGGCTAGATGTATTATATTACCACTCCCAATCTCCTAGGCTCCCTTCTCTCTTTATCCTCACCAGCACTTGCTATGTTCAACTTTTTGGTTTGTTTATTTGTTTGTTTGTTTGTTTTTTGTTTTTTACGAGACAGGGTTTCTCTGTATTGTTTTTGAGGCTGTCAGTCCAGCCCAGCCTCGAACTCACAGAGATCCGCCTGCCTCGGCCTCCCGAGTGCTGGGATTAAAGGTGTGCGCCACCACCGCCCAGCTGCTATGTTCAGCTTTTTAATGACAGCCTTTCTGATAATAACAAGTACAAGGCACTATCCCCTTGAAGTTTTCATTTTGCACTTTTATTTTTAAAATTAAAAATAAGTATTTACTAACTATGTGTGTGGTGGAGAAGGTGATGCCGTGATGCATAGGGGGAGGTGGAGGAAAACTTTTGGGAGTCGTTCACAGTGAGGATCCTGGAAGATCAAACTCAGGTTCTCAGGCTTGGTAACAGGCTTCTTACCCCACTGAGAAATCTTAATGGCCCTGCATTTGTTTTTCTTGTGCTGTTAATTTTTCAAGGTGACTTCAAGGGCAGTCAAGAGGCGGGGCCGGAGAGAGATGCCCGAGGAATAGGGTTCTGCTAATTACATTCCACTCAGAGTCTGAAGTCCGGTCTTTTGACATCCTGGTACTGTGGGCCCAGCCTGTTGTCCGCCTGGCATTGAGGTGACACAGATCCTGTGTCTCCCTGGCTCTGCAGTTGACAGTGAGCTGCTGCCTTGCCCCCTGGAACAGCTTTGTAAAGAGAAGCTTTTTCTTTGCTAGCCGTTTTGGTTTTTCCCGCCAGCTGCCTGGGCTCTGCCACATTGTAGTCCCCAAATAAACACACAGGAGGCTGTATTAATTATGAAGCTGTTGGCCTTGCTTGTTTCTTACTGGCTAGCTCTGACTTAAGTAATTACCCCATAATTGTTAATCTAAATATATCTCTTACCGGAGAAATTTCCGGGCCTCCTACCCCATGGCGTTACATCTCGAACTCCTGTGTTTCTCCTTCCCAGAGTCCTCCTGGACTCCTAGTCCCTCTTATCTAGGTTTCCTATTGGCTCAACAGTACTTTATTGACAAATGCACAGGACTTCCCCCAACAGTCCTGCCCTGCTTTTCTGCCTCTCTTACAACTCTTTCCCTAAGCACTGCCCGTGCCCAGGGGTTGAGGTCAGCTGTGGCTTTGCCCGCTCGCCCTGACTTCCTGTTAAGTTCAACGGTGTCCCAACCCAGGAGACCTTTCATGGGAAGTTCATGTTGTAGTCAGAGTCTTTCCAGGAGTCCCCCAGGCTTTGCTAATTCCACCAAATGATCTCCAGTCCTCTTGGAGTTTGGGGCAAAAAATAAAAAATAAAAACAAAACCAACAACAACAAAAAAACCATATACCTAGTTGCTTGACGTGGGTTTTGTTCATACTGCTGATGTCTTTGGGTAGGGCTGCTTCTCTCAGCATCCTCATCTCCACGCCCCTGTGTGAATTAGGTTCTGTGGCATCCGTCTTGGCTCAGGGCACTTCCCAAGGAGGAGCAGTGGCCTCCTTGGGCCCAGCTGTCAGCCCAGTTGAGTGGACTGATGCCTGTTCTGTGCCTCCTGGTCCCTCAGCATGTACATGGCTGGAAGACACAGTGCCCACAGCTAAGACAGCTCTTTCCCTTTCTTCAAGTGACAGCAAATGTGTTAGTAATGGGTTGAGTTGAGAATGGCCAAGATGTTATGCCCAGCAGACGTCAGAGCATCCCTGTTCCTGTGTGTGCGCGTGAGCAATAAGCTTCCACTAGAGGGGTTCTCACTTCATTTTATTTCAACACTGGGTAGAAATTAGGAGCATCCACATGTAACGCAGGCATTCTGCCACAACCCTACATGCCCATGCATACCCACACGTTTTATGCGATGGGGTCTTACTGAGTTACCCAGGCTGGTCTCAGCTCATGATCCTCCTGTCTCCAACTTCTTTGAGCTGGATTGCATGAATGTGCCCCCCTCTCAATGTCCTGGCATTCAGAGGGTCTCTCTCTTCATGTTTAAGTTGTACTAGACATTTTAACAGTTAATGTACCCATAACATAGATTAAAACCTAAGAACAACAAAGGGCCTGCAGCAAAAAGAAAAGAAAAGAAAATCTTGGTTCAAGCCAGGTGTAGTGGCTCATGCCTTTAGTCCCAGCACTTGGGAGGCAAAGGCAGCCAGATATCTGAATTCAAGACCAATCTGGTCTACATAGTTCCAGAGCAGTCAGAGCTACATAGTGAGACCCTGTCTCAAAAAAACAAAACAAAAAAGCTCAGTTCTACTGATATATACACACATGCACATACACTATATACATACTACATCATACACTCACCGTATACTCTCACATGCTGACTATACCACATATGTACATATACACGGTTCATATACATACCACTCACCATATGCACACTCATACATGCATGTATATCAAATATGCACAGCATGCTCGTCACATACATATGAACAATCCCCACCACCATACATGCACATATGAATATACACACAAGGCGCACACACACTCACACACATACACAGACACTGCAATGTTTCCACCTGTTTGCCATACCTCCTTGGGTAGCTGCTTTAAGATTCTTTTTGCAAAGATGCCCTTCCACTTTTCATGGGGAGCTGAGCCCAGCTCCCTTGTTCACAGGGTTCATGGCTGAGCAGCCCACCTGTGTTGGCATGCTGCTGTGACGGGTCTCTTCCTGGTGATCAATCCCACATTGTGCCCAGGATACAATACTTAGGTTGTGGGTGGGCAGTAGGATGCCTTCTGAGGAGCTGATCTGCTGGGAAGGCATTTCTGTGTTGGAGACTTGTGTTTGTGAAGTTTGCAGAGTTTTCATAGGCAAGGGATGCAAGGGGCAGATGACCTGTATATATGGGAAGAACATGCTTTCACTCCCTGCTTCATGTCTGCTTTTAAATGCAACATGTTTAAGAATGTGCTTGGAACTTTCTTCTCAAGGGTGGGGCATGTGTGAGCATGCACTTGCAATGTAACATGTTTAAGAATATGCTTGGAACTCCCTTCTCAAGGATGGGGCATGTGTGAGCATGCCCTCGCCCAAGTATCAGAACCCACCAGTTCCTTCTTCGTTTCATTGAGTCTTTCTCAAAACTGTCAGAGAAAAAACCTTGATATGATTGGGGTGCTGAGTGCTTGAGGGTCACTGACAGTCAATGCTAAGTGACAGACAAGGGAAAGAACCTAGCATGAAGGAAGGGGGGTGACCGTACTCAATTGGTAGTGGCAATGTTTTGTAATGGACACTTACCAAATCATTACCTTGGACACCACAAGTGTATGCTTTCACTTAACATTTATAGCTCTGAAAGACTTAGGAAAAAATACTAACACTTAAAAAAACAAACAAACAAAAAACCTCCCTGGAAGCCTGTTCCCATCATTTGGTCTCCCTCTTGCCTCATCATCAGTGTTGGAGAGCAGACAGGAGGACAACCACCCCTTACATCACTGTTTCTATCCCACCATATGGGCAGGTCCATCATTTATGGTGGAAGCATACAGCCTCAGCTACATTTAAGTCCTTTAATTTTGAAAGCATTGTTAGGCCTGCAGAGAGAGGTCACCCTGCCTCCAGCAATCATCCAGGCATTAATACACACTGATCACTGGACCTTGTCCCCGATAGCCAGAGCCATGACTTCGTGTTGAATTTTATTTTTCCCTGGTGTGACAAAGACCCAACACTGGTTGTGTACCTACACCCAGAATCCCTGCCCTAAGCTTCCTGTGCCCTGCACATTCCTCTTCCTGCATTGTCCCCTACCAACCTCAGATCTTTGACTATCTCCATCACTTAGTTTTTCTAGAGTGTTCTGTTGTGGGTGTTCTGCAAGTTGCCTGTCTTTCAGATTGGCTTCATTCATTTTGCAATATGTGGTTGGGATTTTCACAGTTTTGTGGTTTCTCTTGAGTAATGAGTGACATCCTATCGCCCAGCTCATAGCTGAGTTTTATCCACCCACGAAACACACAGCTAGGCCATGCTGTGTGGCTTCGCATTCATTCCCAAAGCCATAGAAGACAGTCAGGTCCTAGAGGAGGTGACCCTAAGGTGTCGGGCTATTTGTCCAATGAGTTAGGTCCAGGATGGAGGTGAGAACTGAGCCAAGGCTTGATCAGATCCTATTGTCTTCTCTTCATCATGTAGCCCTGGGGATGTGCTTTCAAATGCTATAGACACGATAAAATGCAGAATGTGTCTTTTGGATGCTGTCATTGGTGTGGCACTGTCTATAAGATTCTTCTTGTAAACTCCTGCCCCCGGGTCACCCACCAGTTGGGAGTCTGCTATGAGTTGACCACACTCATAGTCTATCAGATGACAAGTCCTTTGAATGCTGTGCTACGCAGATTCCTCTGGAGACCAGAGCTGAGTAAGGAAGAACCTAGCTGCATTTAAATGTGTTGGTTCTTTAAATCAAAGAGCTGATGTCTTTTCAACCAAAATGCAAATGAACAGTTCAGCGTTTGGGTAATAATTCTGGATTCTGGGGCGCTTGTCAGAGCCTTGGATGCTCTGTCAGTGTCTGGGATCTGGCTGTGAGATCAAGTTGTACAAAACGAGAGCTTGATGGGGACTTTGTTTTTGCTCTGTATTTTATTTCATTTTTTTAAACCAACAAGCTCTCATTTATACTCCATAAACCATCCTTGATGATGTCTGAGCTGTGGTTTTTATATCTTTGAACATGCGTAGCCCCTGTTATAGTCAGTTGAGGAGTGACTCATCTCCCAGGCCCTTCTGCATGCATGGCTCAGGTCCCAAGAAATTACTAATATCCCTTCTTTTTTAGATTTTCTTTTTAAATATAAATGAATAAATAAATATGTGGATGTGTTTTTCTCAGTGTGTGTATGCAACATGAGCACAATGTCACAGAAGGCCAGAATGAGGGCATCATACCTCCTGGAACTACAGTTACAGACTGTTCTGAGTTACCTAACATAGGTGCTGAACTTGGTCCTCTACAAAGGCAGTATGTGCTCTAAATGGCTAAGTCATCTCTCTCTAGCCCTTTCATAAGTTTTCTCGTCTAGATTTTCCATATGTTTGGGATTGCCCAATCTGTGGACTGCTGTAACTCTCTTTTACTCTGTGTCACGCCTTCAAGGCCCATTCATGTAGGGATCCTGCCAGAGTTTCATTGTCTTTGACAGCTGAATGACTTTCCATCATGTCTCTTGAGTGTGGCATCCAATAATGGGTGCTGACAGGCTGTGGCCATTGTGAAGAATTTGTGTCTGAATATCCACTTGGAATTCTCTTAGAATGCTTCTTATCAAGGAAACAGGGGTTCATGGTCCCTCTGTGTGTGCAGCCATGGCCTTAGGGAAAAAAAAGCTGTGGTGGTGTGCATGGACAGTGTGGGGGCTAGGACAGCATTTGGAAGATGAGGATTTAGCATCAAGGACTCATGGGTCATCTTTCTCCTTAAGCAGTTCGCCTCTATGGACCAAGCTTCACCCTCCAGGTTTACTCATCTCAGAGGAAAGCCTGGTATCCTGTGTGCCAGGATGATTGGAATGACAGCTACGGAAGAGCAGCATGTAAAGACATGGGCTACAAGTGAGTATGGTGCCCTCAGGAGGGACACAGTGCCATCACAATGACACCGACAGACTGTCTCTCCAGTTGTATGTGCTAGGCACTGAATTCTGCAGACACTTGTTACCTTCCAAAAGCTGATCCTGTAACCAGAGGACAACCTCATCACCCCAACATTGTCAACCTAGGCTCACTGCCAGCTACCTTGTTCTGCATCTTTCTTGGCTGCTTGGGAATGCCCATGTAGTTCTGGGATGTAAGACAAGGGCAATGGTCACTTTCTGTCCTTGGAACTTTTCAGACGAGCTGAGCCTTTGCTCTGTTTACTGTAGGCAGGAGCCACTGAAGGGTTTGGGCACAGAAGAGACCTGAGAAGAGCCACGCTTAAGAATTCCTTTTGGCCAGGTGGTGGTGGTGCATGACTTTAATTCCAGCACTTAGGAGGCAGAGGCAGGCAGGTCTCTGAGTTTGAGGTCAGCCTGATCTACAGAGCAAGTTACAGGACATCCAGAGCTACACAGAGAAACCTTGTCTCAAATAACTAAAAAAAGAGAAAGAATTCCTTCATGTGTACAGCAACCAGGACTGAAAAGGAGTAACTTCCACCACCACTTTCTGGCCAAGGGCCCCAGCATTGCTCAGTGTCTTCTGCTATAACAAAACACTTGAGGCTGGGTACTTTGTAAGGAATGGGGGTTTATTTTAGTTCACCATTTTGGAGGGAATCAAAGGTCATGTGTTGGCTTTTGATGAAGGCCTTGTACTGTTTCATCTCATGGTAGCGAAGTAAGAGAGCTGGTGAGCACATGTCAGGCAGCAGGATTGAGGGAACTGAATCTGCTGTGAAAAAAACCTGCTCTTGGGAGACTTAAGTCAACCCCTTATAACAGTGTTAATCCCTTTTTGAGAATGGAGTTGCTATGACACAAGTGTTACTTAAAGTTCCTATCGTCTCTCAACACTGTTACATCAGAGCCCTCCCTCTCAGTGTGGATTTGGAGCATATAAACCACATCCAAACTATGGCTCTCATGAAGACTGGTAGGCCTCAGACGAGGATTTTTCTTACATGGGGTAGTTGTAAGATACTATGCACACTCGGGCGTTCTGTTTGCCAGTTCTCCAAGGCAAATTGCTACTTGATGTGAAAGTTGGCCTCTCAGCTAATGAGAAACTTCAAAATGCTGCCACCCTACGGGGTTGGGGAGAAGGCTCAGTGGGAAAAGTGTTTGCCACAAAAGCATGTGGACCTCATTTTGATCCCCAGCACCCATGTAAAAGCCATGGAGGCAAAATAATCTCAGGGATGGGGAGGTAGAGACGGAAGGATCTTTAGGACTTTCTGGCTAGCCAGCCTACCTGAATTGATGAGATCCAGGTTCAGTAGGAGATTCAGGCTTAAAACACAAGGGAGAAGAGGCTAAAAAAAGATGGTTAAGCAGTTCCTCTTCCAGAGAATCTGAGTTCAGTCCCCAGCACCCACATAGCGGCTCACAACCACTTGTAACTCCAGTTCCAGGGGATCCAGTGCCCTCTCTGACTTCTGAGAGCACTAGGCTTATTTTTGATGCATAGACATACATGAAGGCAGACATACATAAAATAATAAAATATAAGGTGGAGAGCAGTTGAGGAAGATGCTCAGTGTTGACCTACAGTCTCCACATACACAAATATCATCTTGTGTACACAGAGACACCCCTAGGTTCAGAACCAGTAGGACTTTTATAATGTCGCAGACTAGCAAGTGTACATTTTATTAGACAGTGTGTATGTAATTGGGCCTCCTTAGCATCCCATTGTCCTAGCTCACTCTGGGTCTGAAACACAGTTAATGGAAGACTGTAACATCACATGTCAAGGTTTCTGAGTTGGGCAATGGCTTCCACACAGCATGGCTGAATTTGAGCTTAGGTTTTGTTTTCTAGAGTGTTCAGGTGTCCCTTCTATTGCAACCATTACCCAAGGATGGCTTTTTAGTATGGGAGTGTGCTCTGTGAATTCATATGCCTGAAGCATTATTTTCCGTCATTTCCAGGAACAATTTTTATTATACCCAAGGAATACCAGATAGCAGCGGGGCTACGAGCTTTATGAAGCTGAACATAAGCGCAGGCAACATCGACCTCTATAAAAAACTCTACCACAGGTATGGAGGGATCCTTTGATTTGCAGAATTTGAGGAGGAGATCCCACAGATACTGTAGTCCTGAGTTGATTTCTCTAGACTGTATTCTGGGGTTGGCGGGGGCGGTGAGCCTCACACTTGTGAAGGTTAGAGACAAGACCTGAAGCAACCTTACCTTCATTCTTAGCAACTATCTGGGGTTGACATGCCATTTTGCCATTTTGGATTCAATCTCTGTTGTCTGGCCTATAGTCATGAATAACATTATGAAATGAGATTAGACTTTTGTTGTTGTTTGTTTTTTATTCTCCAGACTAAAGGTATGTCTACTGTGCTAGGGTATATGTTAGTTAGGTTTTTGTTTCTGTAACAAAATGCCTAAGGCAGGCTGCTCTATAAATGGTTTTGATTTTGGTTTGTTGACTCATCCTTTTAGAGATTTAAATCCCTTATAGCATGACATGGCTCTGGCAGGGTCCCAGGGCCTCATCTCATCATGGCAGGAACACTAAGCCCTGTGTGGCCTCTCTCTTTGTCTTTGTGAGGTCACCAGGGTTCTGCCACAGAGACTCCCCCCATTTCACGACTTAATTTCACAGAGCCCCACCCCTCAAGCATCACAGTCGCATCAAGTCTCTGTTCTCTCAGTACCATGAACATAGACTCTGGGGTTTATTCTCTGGCATGAGCTCACAGGGACAAACTGTACGACACTGTAGCATTGGAGTCCAAGGAGTCCAAGAGATTTTCTGGCCCTTGGTTCCAACCCAAGACTAAAAGTGAGAGGATGCCATGGGGTATCCTCTGGGCCCTGGTGCAAGTGTCTAGTTCAATAAATATTTGTTGTGCCCAAACCACAGATCCTAGGGCTGATGGCCATCATATTTGAATGAGTTTACAGGGCCATTGCTCTTCTCCAGGTGCTTTTGATGTTGGGGACAGACTCATGGTGTCTTCTTTGTGAAAAGACTTCACAGGGCCTCATTGCTCCTCTCCAGGTGGCTCAGGTGCCTCTAGGGCCAGCTGTCAGGAACTGCATGTCAGGGCTGGAGAACAAATCACTCACTACTCCACCCTTACTGAGTGTTTTACCATCCTGGTAGCTACCAGCCAGGATGTCCTGCCTTAGGCTGGCTGTCTCTGAGAATGTGGAAGGTCTGGCTTGACTGGAGAGTAGTGCCTGGCCAGGTGTTCCATCCAGACAGCAGAGCTTAGCATTGGTGGCAGGTGTTTTATGTGAATTGAGTAGCTCTTTGTCTTCCTCAAGGACTCAGGCCTAGGATTATGCCTAGTTGGCAAGTGCAGAAGGGAGGGGAGAGATGTAGGCTGCTGGTGCAGACAGGAGCACAGCAGGGAGGGGTGAGCTCAGGCCACCAGCCTAGGTGAGGTGTGAGGTCCTTTACAACTCCAGAGGTGGCTGGCAGGAAAGCTATTGTCTAGTATTGGGCTTCTTAAACTGTGACACCTTTCCATCTTGAAAAAAATCTCACATGATCCCAGCTATAGAGGACTATAAGATAGATACACAAATCAAATGTTTATTGGTAATAAATCATAAATAAAATTGTCTTCCAACAGCACTTCTGCACACATATGATTTTACTACTTATTAAAGATTAAAGCAAATTTGCATACCAATGAGATGGATGAGTTTGCAAATTTACTTACATACACAGGAGTAATGGTAGAAAAATACTAAAAGTTCCTGCATCTTGTAGTTAAAAAGACCTGTTTATTTTATACACAGAAATGGGGCATTTCAGTAACATTCTGCAGCTCATTACACACGGAAGTCTAGAGCCTGGAAGGAGGCATTTTCAGAGGCATTCACTGGTGCATATGTGCCCAATACGAAGTACCCAGGTGTGTTCACAGTCAAGGCTTCAGTGAAGTCATATGATGCAGAAATGCCCCCTTTCCAATGTTCCTTTCTTGAGATTTCCCACTGGTACTCTGGTGGGAATCAGTCCTCTCCATGTGGATTCCAGAGACTGAACTCAGATTGTCAGACTTGGAGGCAAGTACCTCTACCCACTGAACCATCTGGCTGGTCCCTACGTATGCCTTATATGCATAGACTGAAGGTTGCTAACATTCTAGATTGACTATGGTTTGACCCTGCATATCCAGAAAGGGTGATGGTAGCTCTTTATTTGGGGGTTTGGAAAGGTCCCCATTCAGTGTGTGCATGGGTGACAATGGAGTAGGCTGGTACACTGAGTCTTTATCTGTCCAAGTGGCCACTGGTGTTTGGGAAATCAACTAGTCCCTACAGAACTACAGCTGGACGTTGATGCCATCAGGGCATCGGGACTGTGGACTCTTCGGTGCACCAGGGACAGTGTCTTATAGGATGGAATGCACTGATTGTTTCTTTCTCATACACAGCATGGGAAGTTTGACTCCCAGCTGAGTGCTGTTTTTTTTTTTTGTTTTTGTTTTTGTCCCTGGCAAAGTATTGGCTTTGCTGTCATCTGTGGTTTTACATGTAAAGACATCCAGGGAAATCAGAAGTTCCCAGACCATTTCCTGATGACATTATTGAATGGCTGCAAGACAGGGTCTTGCTGTGTCGCCTAAAGTGGCTTTGGACTGGTGATCCTCCTGCCTCAGACTCTCTAGCACTGAATTTTCAGGTGTTTGCCATGATAGAGGATGATTTCAAATTATACAAGGACAGAAGTAAAAACTGATGCAACTGTGCCCTCGCCCCCAAAGCCACCATCTTAGTGGTGTCATGGTTCATCCTTGTATTGAAATGTTGGGGATAGAAGAATCTTAGAGTTCATTCAAAATTTTAAAGTACTTATATGTGGGGAACCTGGGGTCAGGACTCAAATGTCAGGACAGACTTGATTTGTTTCATGTGTTCCTTTATCTAAATCTATGTAGTCTGTTTATGTGGGTGTACTGCCTTGGCACACATGTGGAGGTCAGAGCAATCAGTCCTCTCCATGTGGATTCCAGAGACTAAACTCAGATTGTTAGACTTGGAGGCAAGTACCTCTACCTACTGAACCATCTAGCTGGTCCCTGTGTATGCCTTATATGCATAGACTGAAGGCTTGACTATGGTTTGATCCTGCGCATATGGTTAGGTATGAAGTTTTCCACTTGTATTATGTTGGGGTTCCAAAGTTTTAAGAGTTTGGCACATTGCAGATCAGGGATCAACCTGAATTGTTGCTGTTGTTATTATTATTATTTAATTTGTTCTATTTTCAAGGCAGGATTTCTCTGGAACTCATTCTGTAGACCAGACTAGCCCTCGAACTCAGAGATCCACCTGCCTCTGCCTCCAGAGTGCTGGGATTAAAGGTGTGCGCCACTACCACCCGGCTTTGAATTGTAACCTTATTCTGCCTGTTGGAAAGAGGCAGAGAGAGGGCTAGCATCATGCCCAAAGGTGAACAGCTGGAATTTGAGCCTGGCACTCCTCTGACTGTGTCCATCCTTTGCCGGTATCCCCATCTGGTCTAGTCACATCAGTAGGGTCATCAGTGGTGGATAGGAGGCAACACTAGGACATCTTTGTCAGTGTCTCATCCCTGGCTGTGGTAACAGAGTCCCTTCTTCTTTCCAGTGACTCCTGTTCGTCCCGCATGGTGGTTTCTTTGCGCTGTATCCGTGAGTACTTCCCAACGTTGCTTTTCAATGCTTCTGAGTAGAATCCAGTCTGTAGCTTGGAGAAATGTCCCTGGGTCTTGAGATACGGTGAGGGCAGGCCTCCGGGAGGGCAGCAGGGATGTGCCCGGAGTCCTTTTGCATTCACTCGGATCTCTATGTTGGAATTTTGCCACACTATAGTGTCCACTGAGGAAAGGCGATGACTGGGCTCTGCCACGCCTTGTTTTCAGGTGCCACCATGTGTGGGGAGCCCTGGTGGCTCCTTCTTCATGAAGTGGAGGGGTGAGCAGTTTGTGATCTAGGAGCCTCGGTGGCAGTGACCCTGCCTGGGGCAAAGCCAGAGCAGTGTCATGCAGTCTTCCACTGGGGCACACAGCCTCTGGGACTCCTAAGGAGAAAGCCTAACAGCAAGCATGCCCTTCTGCCTTCCCTCAGTAGCTCGTACGGTAGCTTGCTGGGATCCCCCCTCTTTGTATGTATGTCAACTACTCATGGAGCCCACACCGGGTAAATATGGGTGGCGAGCCTAGGCCTGGGACTTGAAGCTCACCTTTTAGCAAAGGAGCCCTGAGTCTCCTTAAGGTCCCCAGCAGGTATTGTGCAGCCAGGAGAGAGCAGCGCTGATTGCTAGCTCTTTGCCACATGGGCCTCCCAGCTACTCAGAGCCACTCACAAAGAGGTTCAGGTGGCCCCTAGAGGATGCTTCCAGAAATCCTACTCCACACTGTGCTGAGATGCACACGGCCTGCTCAGCTAGAACCCCGTAGCAGCCGCTTGCTACTTTCCAGCACCGCAGGTCAGTCTCCAACACCCACTTTTCATATTATCTTGATATCTCCCAGTTAAGAACTTGCCCCACACCTGTGAAGTACTAGAGTCTCCCTTTAGGCCAACAGGGGCTGCTGACTGGTCCCCTCTCGGCCAACTGGTCAGCAAAGGACCTATTTATTATTTCCCGAGGGGTGCTCAGCCTTCATCACTCCTGCCATCCTCCACTTATCTCCTCCCTCTGTCCCTCACATGACCTCATCTCCTTTCATCTCACCCTTTTAGCCCCTACTGAAGTCCTCACTTGCCTCCTCATTCACTCTCAGCCTCACCTACCTCCCTTTTCTCTGCCCAGAAGTCTTGGGAGGCCCTGACTGTATCGGTCAGTCTCCCTGAGGAGCCCGTTACCCAGGACCTTCCCAATCATGCCTATCAGAGATCTGGTGGAATTGGGCACCAACACGAATTAGCCCATACTCCAGCCAGAAAATGAGTGGCCCCGTTGGGGACCTAGGAGAGTATCCACCCCGCCCCACACACGCACTTGCTTATTCGGACTCCTAAAAATGGGCAAAGAGAGGCAGCAACGGTCACCTTCTCCATCAGCCCCACCACCTGGGTGTAGCCAGAGAAAGGCAGCTGAGTGGAGCACATACGGTTGGCTTTGTGCTGGTCCCGGTGTCTCTCCTGTTGACTGACACCTAACATGTGCTTGTCACCCTCAGAATGTGGGGTCCGCTCAGCGACACGCCAGAGCAGGATTGTGGGTGGATCGAATGCTTCACCAGGAGACTGGCCCTGGCAGGTCAGCCTGCACGTCCAAGGTGTCCATGTCTGTGGAGGCTCCATCATCACCCCCGAGTGGATTGTGACCGCCGCTCACTGTGTGGAAGAGTATGTCTACATCCTATGAGGTCTTGGGTTGTGGGTTTGGAGTGTGGCTCTGCCACCATGTGACCCACACAAAGCTGTGTGGCAGCTCCCACGTCCTGTGTGTAATGGGATTTGTGCTGCTGGGAGGGAGACATATGCACTGCAGGTGCTCAGTCTCATCCACTCATTAGACAAATGTGCCCGTGGCCTTTCCTGCCTGCTGCTGCACCCCAGATGTGCTCCAGCTGCTGCCCTCTCACCCCTGTCTATACGTGTTGGGAGTCTCATTTCTCCTGGGCGTGCATCTCGGGGCAAAGTCCACTCTGACAACCTCACATTGCCCTGGTATGCCCACCAGTATGCATTTATTAAGCACCCACTGAGTGTCATCACGTGCTCTGGCATGCAAAGATTAGTGAGAAAGTCTTGTCAGAAACGTGATTTTTTTAAAGCCTCACAGAAGGGTGCCGGCCCTGTTTGTGGGCAGGTGCAGAAGATGGGAGAAGGAAGAGAACCCTCAGAAAGCTATTCGGCAGCTTGCAAGTGTGGGGAGGTTGGAGGGAAGTGGGGAGTCCTGTGCCCCACAGTTTTACTCTGTGGCTTGGGGTGCTCCTCTCACTCCAGACCTCAGCATGTGTGTTTTAAAGGCTGGAGGGTGTACCTTGTATCTGTGGGTTTCCATATGCTGTCTCCCTGTTTCCCAGACCCCTCAACAGCCCGAGGTACTGGACAGCGTTCGCGGGGATTTTGAGTCAGTCTCTCATGTTCTATGGAAGTAGACACCAGGTAGAAAAAGTGATTTCCCATCCAAATTACAACTCTGAGACCAAGAATAACGACATCGCTCTCATGAAGCTTCAGACGCCTCTGACTTTTAATGGTATGTCATGCTCATTCCACCAGAGGGCAGTAACTCCCTCTCAAACATTGCTTACTGCCCCCCCCCCGGGCCAACATGCTCTCCAGCTGATGCCATTATCTGGTTGATAATTTATAAAGACTACCTGCTTTTAAAATGTTTAAGTTATTTTTTAACTTTTATGTGATGGGTGTGTGTCTGTGCACCACTTGTGTGTGCCGGGTGCCCACAGAGGCCAGAAGAGGGTGTCACGTTCCCTGGTACAGTTGTGAACCTCCATGTGAGTGCAGGAAATCAGACAATGGTCCTCTGGAAGAGCAGCCAGTGCTCTTAACCACTGAGCCATCTCTCCTAAGACAACTGTTTTTTTCTTTTTTCTTTCTTTTTTAAACAAATGTATCTGAAAGCAGGAAATGGTAATAATGCATTTTTAAAAGAACTTTGATAAGTTTGTTCATTGGGCTGGGGAAATGGCTCAGCCGTCAGAGGCTGGGCTCACAACCCAAAATAAATTTGTTAATTAAAGAATAGTCTATGAACTATTTGTTTGTTTGTTTTTGGTTTTTTGAGACAGGGTTTCTTTCTGTAGCCCTGGCTATCTTGGAACTCACTCTGTAGACCAAGCTGGCCTTGAACTCACAGAGATCCACCACCTAACTCTGCTTACACGTGCTGGAATTAAAGGTGTGCACCACCACTCCCAGGCTCTATTTCCTTTTTTTTAAATTGACTTTTAAATTCACTCTTTGAGATTTTGATAATGTACAATATATTTGTATGGGGGAGCAGGGTCTCTATAGCTCAAGCTGGTCCTTCTAAGTAGCCATTTATGACTATGAGTTCCTGGTCCTCTTGCTTCCACCCCTGAGCGCCTGGTTTTATGAGGGCTTTGTCCATGCTAGGTAGGCACTTAGCCAATTGGGCTGCATTCCCTAGTCCCTTCCTTAGCTTCTTATTATCGCTTTCCTAGTCTATGCAAGAGCATGGAACGTTCTAGACTCTACAGATGACAACACACTTCTCTTCTGAAGTGCTTGTATTCAACCTGGGGGTCCACCTCACACACAAAATAGCAGATCCTTGAGGGATGGTGTTGCTTTGGGATGAGCTGGAACAATCAGCTTCTGAGCTGGAACATCAGCTTCTGAGCAATGGCCAAGTCACATTCCTTTCCTCCTCTGTCACTCAGGCCTGTGTGCTGTGTTTTAGAAGCAGAGCCAGCACTTGGCTGTGTCCAGAGGAACTGTCAGGAAGCAGGTCTGCCAGGATGGGAGCGAGGGGTCCAGGACTCATGGGAACCTCGGTTTCTGGCAGGGACATGGTATGGGGCAGCCCGGGGAGACTCTCACAGAGGCCATCTAGGCCTGGGTAACCCTCTGTTCTTCTTTAACAGATTTAGTGAAGCCAGTGTGTCTGCCGAACCCAGGCATGATGCTGGACCCAGCCCAGGAATGCTGGATTTCAGGGTGGGGGTCCACCTATGAGAAAGGTGAGACTTTGGGCCACACTGGATGGGATGCTGATTTCCACATTGGGATGTTATTTGCATTTCAGTTCTGTTATTCAGTGGCTAATGACTTTGGACAATATACCTAGGCTATGTGCCTTGATTTCCCTGTTGGGTTAACAGAAAACATCAAATTAGCCCTACCTAGCACATAGGGAAAGGGCTTGGTATTGTGATGACTGAGGAAATGTACTTCCTCATTCTTGTGACAAAATTTTTGACAGAAGTAACACAAAGGAAGAAGGGCTTATTGTTCATAGTTTGAAAGGTGCAGTCCATTATAGAGGGGAAGGCATCAGGAATTTGAGGCACTGGCTCTCTCTCTCTCTCTCTCTCTCTCTCTCTCTCTCTCTCTCTCTCTCTCTCTCTCTCTCTCTCTCTCTCTCTCTGACACACACACACACACACAGCATTGAAGATGAAGTCCATTTTAAGGGGAAGGCATTTGGAACTGGAGATGTTGGGTCTCACACACACACACACAGAGTGCAGAGAGAGAGAGAGAGAGAGAGAGAGAGAGAGAGAGAGAGAGAGAGAGAGAGAGAGAGAGAGAGAGAGAGAGAGAGATATGAATGCTGAGGCTTAGCCCATTTTCTCCTTTTTATTTTGTCTGGGACCCAGCCCATACAATGGTGCCACCCATCTTTAGGGCACCATTTCCCTCCTCAATTTACCCAGTCTAGAAACTTCCTCATAGACATGCTCAGAGGTTTGCCTCCCAGGTGATTCTGGATCCTGTCAATCATTGTTAACTATTACAGGGAGGGAAGGAGGAAGGGAGGGAGGTGGGAGAGAGGGAGGAGGGAAGAGAGGTCTGGGATTGTCTACATAGAGTGTGGGCTTCTTGAGGGAGGTGTTCACAAGATCTGCTGGCTGATGCCTCTGTTGTTAGGGAAGACCTCGGATATGCTGAATGCTGCCATGGTACCCTTGATTGAACGCTCCAAATGCAATAATAAATACATATACAACAACCTTATCACACCAGCCATGGTCTGTGCTGGCTTCCTGCAGGGCACTGTGGACTCTTGCCAGGTAATTTTGAGTTTTTATTCAGTCTTGGAGTGTGTAGTTCCCACTGAGTTCCTGTGAGACATGGGGTCAGAGATACCTCCCAGGGACACAGGGCCAGTTGGGAGCACTGTGGGGAGGGCTGGTCACTAGCAGCATTTATGCCTCTGGCAGAAGCCAGTGCTAAGCACACTATGATCTCCAGAGATGTGTTTATTTGGCACAATTGTTGGTGTGGGTACGTTGTGGTCTTCCATATACTTGCTAACAGCTAGTTGACATGGACCAACTTTACTTTTTGGAGTATGTCTCTATGATCAATGCCTCCTTCTGGGGAGATAGACCCACACTCATTTTCATATCCAGAGACTCTGTCCTCTCTGCATGATGTATAGTGGCCAGCGTGCTGCAGTGTGCCTTTCTCTTCTCTGTAACTTTTCGTGTTCACCAGGGAGACAGTGGAGGGCCTTTGGTTACTTTGAAGAATGACATCTGGTGGCTGATTGGGGACACGAGCTGGGGCTCTGGCTGTGCCAAGGCATTAAGACCTGGAGTGTACGGGAACGTGACAGTATTTACAGACTGGATCTACCAGCAAATGATGGTAACTTCCCCGATTCCTGGGTTACCTGTCTCTTTGAGCTCAAGCCATAGGTCTGGGAGGAATATGCTTCCATGGCCTGAACTGCTCCTGGATCATCTTTTACCCATCCCTCTGGTTTCCCAATCCCTCTATACTCAAAGTCAATGATGCCTGCTTACCTTTGGAAGGTGCGGGAGTGAGCACATCAATATCACTGCCATCTTGCTAGTGCTGATGGCATAGCTGGACTCATAGAACTTTCTTGGCTCCCCATGCTCATGAAGGCTCAGTAGAGCCAGACATCCATCCAGCTTTCATCCACTCACATATAGTCAGAATGGCACTCTTCCCCAGAGGGATATCTTGAAGGGTATTAGGACAGCCTTCATGTTCTGTTCGGAGGGAAGGGGGTGGCTAGAGATATCAAGCCCCTAACTTGGGTACAGGAGAAGAAGCCAAGGGGTTCCTGTGAGCCGGCCCTCCTGGCTCATCCATACAATCTGTTGGAGCCCCAGCCTCTCTATCCCGGGGATCAGAATGATGGCTTGTTTAGACATGGACTCATAGGAGAGGTTCCTAGAGAAAGAGCATATTTCCTAATATCTACCTGATAGAGAAGGAGTAAGATTGGGGCATTGTCATGAGGCTTGACTATGTCAACGCAAGTGACACCTGAGCTCAGGGTGTCACATGACAGTGAAGTCCTCTCCTGGCAGAGTCAGAGGTGGGAATGGACAAGCCAGACTATGCTGAGGGGCACGAAGAGGAGGCTAGAGAGGGGGCAGAATGGAGGGAGCTGACCAGCAGGTGTATTTAAGCCTGAAGGCCACTCAGCATGGCCTTGAGGAAGAAGTTCTGAGTGGGAAGGGTTACCACAGATAAGCGACATCTCGGTAGAGCATGTCCTGAGCCAAGCAAGGCTTATGTGCTTCCTGCACCTGTGAACTGAGCTCTACCTGCAGAAGTCTGTGAGGGCTGGATCTCTCACATCACCAGGGGGAAAAAAAGACAGCTTTGTCTATCTTAGGCGAGTAACCTCATCTCTTCTTCCTGTTTGCATAGGCGAACAGCTAATCCACGTGGCCTTTGTCCCTGACTTCTTTTGCCTTCGACACCCTTCCGCAAGAAAACCGAGGGGCTGATTTTTAACTCCTGTGCACAATGTACCCTTTGAGATGATTCAAAGGGGCCTTTCACTTCATTAAACAGTGACTTGTCTGACTGTGCTCCCTGGTCCTGTGCGGGCTTCAGTGCCCCACCCCAGGTCCCTTCTGCGACTCCCATCCAGAAGGGATGATGATCCTGCTGGGTTGGGCATGTAGGGCCAAATGCAGAGGAGGGTGGTACTGTCTTGCTAGGCCTCCCTCTATGCTCATGCTCAGACCTCTTTGAATGAGTAAGGACTGTGACTTCTGAGTAGCCTTATGGCCTGAGAAAGAGTTGGGAGGCCAGGCAGGGCTGTGGGCCCTGGGACAGACACCTTAAGAGAAAACTGCCTGCAGCTTGTGACCTGGCTCTGCTGTGCAGTTTGGGCTGGTCCTACTATAATGACTTCATTAGCAGCCAGGGTGAACACGGCTCCCGCTCCCGCATGTTGACATGATAGCCACTTCCAAGGGTGACACAGCCTTTGCCAAGCTGAGAGTTGAGGCAGAGCTCTCGGAGCAAGAAGCTAATGTCATCATGTTCCTCTTGGCTGTCTGTCCCTTGGGGGAGACCCACATGGGGTCATTCTTGACTCCCCACCACTGTTTTCTTATCCTCTCAGAGCCTGAGACTCACCTCTTAGCCTTGGCAACAGGCAAGGCCTGTATAATTCACCTAGCCATGTGGAGGATGAGGTCCATCAGGATCAGGGACACATGATTCCAGTCACCTTGCTTCTGGGTCATGTTTCTTCTCTTACTACCTCGCTGTTCCTGGAGCACTAGCCTGGATGGATGGCTAGTGTTCACCTGCATTTGGACGTGTGATTGTGCCGCAGACGTTAGACCTCTTCCAGATGGTGAAGTTATTCTATAGCATGGGAATGGGATTGGAAGTTCTTAGCGAAGGACAAAGATGAAAAGGAGGAAGTCATTGTCCTATAAGTATGAAGTATGAGTGTCTTACCTATGGTGAGGCTCTGCCTCCTTCCCACTGCCCGGTTCTCCAGAAGGCAATGGGTGAGTCATAGCTGGGACTCCGCCTTTTCTGGGAAGGGACTCCCATCCAGGGGAGGGTCGCCCACTCCATGATGCTTCCTCTGGGAGCAGCACTCAGGGACTTTCTGAACGCAATGCCAGACTAAATGTGCAAGCTCCTTGAAGTGTAAGAACATGTCCCCCTCCTCAGCTTTCCCTGTCTGTGCTCTTGGTTAGCTGTTTCCTGCTTTATGTCTGTTCTGAGTTTCCACTGTGAAATATACAAATAAAGTTTATAATTTTTTCCATTATTCATTGGCTCTGTAGTTGCGCCCCAGGGCCAGGCTGCAGTAGTTTGGGAGGGATGTCAGAGTTGGTTCTGGGTTGGGGAGAGACGCTGTCAGAACACCAGCCCGGCCCTGATTGGATCCTATGCTTGGACTCATCTGGTGGTTCCTGCAAGAGCTTTACCAGCTCCTGAGCACAACCTCCGCCACCCCCTCAAAGCCAGACTCCAAGAGCCTCTGTTACCACCTTTCCGTCCCAGTTCCTTAATCCTCCCTCACAGCCAGTTGGTCCTGGAAAAGAGCAAAACAGGAACCTGGTAAAGTCTGTTTATGTCAGCTCTCATGTGGAGGCCTTTAGCTCTGGAGACCCAGCTCCAGGTTCCCACATCATCAGGCAACCTGACTCAGACTTGAGGTCAGCATCTGTATCCTGGTCTTCACAAAACACCAGAGGGTTCATGGTGACAGAAATGCTGCCCCATACAGTGTTCACTCCTCTTCCTGAAGCTGGGACTATGACAGGAGAAAGATGAATGTGGTCTCCTACGTAAGAGCTAAAGCTACTCTGCTTGGAGTTCTTAGCACGTGTGAGTTTCTGCCTTGACACCATTTATTTTCTTTCCTCTTCCCCATTCTTGCCTTACTCTCCACCAGGGTCTTATATATGCCCTGGGATAGCCTCAAACTCAACATAGCTGAGGATAACTTTGACCTTCTTATCATATTTCCTCTACCTCCAGAGTTCTAGAAACACAGGCGTGCAACACCACACCTGGTATTATGTGGTACCGGGGATGGAACCCAGAACTTACTGGATGTTAGGCAAGCATTCTACCAGCTTCTAGTGTCTCTAGCCCTAACACATTTAACATATACTGTAGGTTCCTCACCTCTGAACCCCCATCAGCCTCATAGCTCAGCCTGCACACAAACATTCCCAAACATGTTCAGCCTTCTTGGGCTGAAGATAGATCACTGTTATGCAACACTGTGTTCAGGGCTGTGCGGCAATAAAATTACATGAAAATGCAAACACGCAAAAAAGCCAATTTTAGGGCATTAAATAGCTGTGAGAAGAATTTGCTTCAGCGTTGTGCTGAAAGAGTAAGTGAAAGTGGCAGCTGCTGGCCTCCACTGGGATGTCCATTCAGGGCTGGAGATTTTTGCCTTGAGGTTGCTACTAACCTTTAGCAAGAGAAATTCACAAATCAGACGTTGGGGACAGTGAGGAGTGATGCTGGTTTAATGTGTTACCCTAAGTATAGAGGCTGTGATGTTGGTGCCATTAAACAACACTATTAACTTTCCGAATATAAATTAACCCAGCATTTCGGCAGAGTAAAAATCAATGTTGTTAGCTTCTCATGGCTGGGCAAAGAGCCGAACCCAGCCATGAAAAGATCACTGGTTGGCTGAGTTTGTGGGTGACAGTCCTGGGATTTTTCTCCAGAGATGAACCCCTGATTTCAAAGTTACTTTCCATTCTGGCCAAGGCTGTGGTTCCAGAGGCATGCCTGCCTGGTGTGACTCTGTGCAAATACAGTGCAGAACTGTGGCTATATGGTGTGATGTGGCCCAGGTTCACTTAGGGGTGGTGGTCAATGTTTGACAAGGGCTTTAATTTTTTGTGCTTGGAAAGAAGTCTTAGGTCTCCCCTCAGGGAGGGAGCTGCTGATTCATCCCAAATCAATCAGCCTGCAGTGGTAGTACTTGAGGTACAAGCTGGAACACTGCCTGACCTGGATACCAGGGCCAGTTCCCTGGGAGGGGAGAATAAAGGATCTGATAAGTCAGCACCACAGCTGTGTCCCTCCCAGGCTCTTTGTAACCTGTTATTGGGTTACACTCACATCAACTTCCCTCCTTGAGACCAGGCTTGCTGTGGGAGTCTACTGTCTGGCTGGTGGCAGTGCCTGCTTCACGTGAAGAGGATTTGTAGAAAGATGGCTCCCCTCATTGAGAACATCATGTCCGCAAGGCCTTTGAAACAAGGTTCGTGTGGATTTCCATCACACAACACGGACTGAGCTCCTGCAGCGTGCCATCCCTAGTATTCTGAAAAACTGAGGCGTTCCACTGCAGCCTGTTCTTGTCTAGACCTCCCCTTACTACACTAAACACCCCCACTTTATAATGCTCACCCAGTCTATAATAGTCACCTTTCCTAGAGTGAGGGTCCAGGAGAAGATACACTGCAAACTCTAGTATCACGGATATCAGGCAGGTGGAACATAGCAGGTGACAATAGCCCCAGGGGCACTGATCCGGACTGAGCCTGGCCTCTCCCAGTGCTAGAATCTCACAGAGGTGTCCTAGAGTTCTCATTCTGGGTTCTGATCACAGGGATAGACCCCAGATACTTGCTCTTTTTATGGCGCAAAAGGAATCCTCCTGGCCCTTTGGGGAAATCACAGCAAGCTACCTCTCCATAAACTCCCTTCTTTGTACCATAGATTCTTGCTTGTTCCTTCACATAATACAGCCTAGAAAGGCCCATCTGATACTTGGATGCCTCTGACTCTTTCTGGTCCATCAGAACCTAATGTCCCTGGAAGATGGAGCTAGGTTGGGGCTATACAGAGGAGGGATCTGGGTATGAAGAATTCCTCAAGCACCAGACATTGGGCTGCTCTCAGAACCAAGAGGTCAAGTCTGTGTCAACTGGAGGGACACACACTTGAGTCAGAGATGTTTAAACTGCCTGCCTACCTTATTTCCCCAGAATCCTCTGTGATGGGAGGCTCAAGTACTTCATGCTCCAGCTCATAGTCTCTGGGAACACCAGTGACCGCGGGAATGGCAAGAAGTCAGTCAGCCCTGGAGAGGCCTATTGGTGTCATCTAGCCCAGGTCTTAGAATTTGGACATGTGAAGCCGCCATTGTCTCTCTAGCATCCCTATTGTAAGCATATTCTAGAAACCTCCCAAAGTCATTGATGATAGAGTTTCAAGGGTCAGAAGGCATGTAGGGTGGGGTCTCTTTGGGAGGGGACAGGGTAGAGGCTATGCAGCTGGTCTGAAGGTAGCCCCCCCACCCCCAGAGCAGGCAGTTCTTGTGGCAATATTTCCAGAAGTCTATAAAATTGACTCTGTTCCCTATGTCCTTCATGTTTCCTGGAGACTGTCCCTCAGCTCCCTGCTCTTCCCCCTGCTGCCCTCCTTTTTGAGCCTGGCATTCCTGATGTTTTATTGCTCCTCAATGGACCTGGTGTCAGGACCTCTATTGGGCATCTGTCCCCAAGCAGTGTTGTGACCTGCACCCAAGGCTTCCTAACCTTGAAGGCAGGAAGTGTTGTGTGGATTTGGAGCTGAGTTCTAGGAGAGAGTCTTGAGGGTGAGGCTTGTGTTTACCCATCTTTCAGTCTTGGAGGAACTCTGCAGCTCTCCTGCAGGGAGGGTATTGTTCCCCCAGCTGATCTGGATGTACCCTGGGTAGTTTCTCAAGATCTAGGCATGCAGAGTTTCCCACAGCCTCTGCTCATGTTGAGACTGCTTTGCACTTCCTGCAGGCCAGGGCCCGTGTGCACAAAGAAGTCATGTGTTTAACAGTTTGCCTTCCCAAGCTCATCTCCATGTGTTGTAGTTTCTAGGAAGTAAGCACCTCTTGGTCCTCAATTCCAGAGGGGAGTTGGCTTCAGTGACCCATATATTTACCACTTGCCCTCTAACCCCTGAAGTCCTGTGCAACCCCTTCACCCAATTGAAAGTGAGTCAGAGAAGTGTCAAAAGTGGTTTATTAGGGATGCAGTAGGTAGCTCCCTCCTGACAGTAGGATGCATAAAAACAGGGTAGAGGCCAAGGTGGGAAAGGTTCTGAGAGTGAAGCCATCATCATATCAGAAAATTGGCACTACCTACCCATCTATGTCCTATGTTTTGAGAGCCTCTTCCCCTTCATCTCTCAGAGTGAGCAGAGAGCTCCGCTTTGCTGCTGATTGCTAACACCAATACCAGGTCAGAGGCTAAAGGGTGGTATGATAGCTACCAGGAAAGGCAGGAGACCTGCTATCCCTGAAGCACTGTCCAGGAGACACAAGGAAGGACAGAGCCAGCTTAACCAGGAAATTTGGCTAGCCGGCGGCGAGCCTGAGCCAGCCTTGACAACCGCTCCTTCAGGAACTTCCTCTTCTCACTGGTGTCATTGCGTTCCTTCAGGAGCCAGCTGCAGGAATCCTTTTCCTGCAGGAGCTGAAGCATGCCTTTCTGCAGCTGATCAGCAAACATTTTCAGGATGAAATACTGGATGATCAAAGGTATGTGGCTGGAGATGCGGTTGTGAGCTTCCTGGAAGAGGGAGACACAGAAGGCAGAGTCATCTCTGAGTAACAAGATCCTGGCAGGCTCAAGCTTCAGCACCCTCAGTTTGCTGGCAGAGCAGGTCCAAGTTGCTTGCCAGACTGTGGCAGTTTCCCTGACCATCAATCAAATGAACTCTCAATGGAAAAGAATAATATGTACTGGAACATAGTCCACAGAGACACTCCAACTGCATTTCCAAATGGCTGACCACTCTGCTGAGAACATTGCTTGCCTATTCTTAAGACCCAGGCTTCTCAGCATCAGGGAAGCAGGGTCCCAAATGAGCTTCTGGAAGGAAGTCAGTGTCCACCTGCTCCATCCTCTCTCCCAGATGTTAGCCCCATTCTCGCAGTCCTGTCCTGAGACAGGTTGCTCTCTCAGATGGCATGTGCTGATGGTTTCCCAAGGTTGGTTCTAATTTCCCTTTTTTAGGATACAAGTATACCATGACCACAGCCTTCTGGAGATGGTTAAGCAGGTGGTCACAAGACAGCAGAATAAGAAGATGTCTGACAAGCTATGAGTACCTGGTCACAACTTCGGCACAACCCTGAGTCATGACAGAACACAGGCTATGCGTTCTCTAACCACAGACAGCCTGGGTGTGGCCTGTCTTCAAATGTCATTGGGAAGGAGTGAGGTTCAGAGATGGGGGCCAATAGAAGGCATAGAAACCCCAGATATCCAGATGTTGGTGCCTTGGGTGGGAATAGGGCCTTGGCTAATAAGAAAGGATATTGTCTGCAGATTCATGCTGTGACATGTAGGGGCATTGAGGATATTATGCTCTGAGAAATTAGTGAGGCAGGAAGGATTAAAAACTCTACTATTCTACTTGTTGAGGTCCCTGGAGTTGTCAGAGTCCCAGAGACAGAGCAAACCTGATATCTACAGGTGCATGGCCATAAGATCCAGGAGCCATGCACTTGGCCACATGACAGCTCTGACATTCTAGCAGCCAGTGACAGATGTCTGTACATTAGAAGGTCACCATGACTTTCCCTGTGTGGTTGCTTCCAGGTCCCTGTGGCTCGGACTGTGTAGGACCTACTATACTTGGGTTGCACGATGTGTACCCCCATCAAACAGATGTCAGGACCTGGCTTCCCCTTGATGAGTTTGTGGCATCTCAACATTGTGCTAAGGGCCCCACCCTCCATCACAGGTGCTTGGGATGCTGAAACCAAATCTTATAGAATGTTCTGAGAGTCTAAGTTACAGTCAGTGTCACACAGACCATAAAAGGCAGATGTCTGTGGCTCTAAGCTACCTGTTCATCTCAATGAATTATAACCACTCCCCAGAGGTTCACCCAGAACTTCAGGACTGAGTTGTCCTGAAGCCCCCTTGCAGATTCATATCCTATGTAGAGACACATACAGAAATAAAGGCAACAGCCAGCAGTGGTGGCACACGCCTTTAACCCCAACACTCAGGAGGCAGAGGCAGACTGGTCTCTGTGAATTTGAGGTCAGCCTGTTCCACAGAGAGAGTTCCAGGAAAGCCATGGATACACAGAGAAACACTGTCTCAAAAAAAAAAAAGGAACAAATGGCCTGTGAAACCAAGTCCCAAGGTGTCCACACACTTACCTGGCGGTAGGCATTCAGGTGCTGAAAGATCTCAGCCATGGATGAGTTCTGCAAAGCTTCAGACTTAGAGGAACTGAAGGAGCTTGACTTTGTGTTGTTCTCCTCTTCAGTTTCCTTCTGTCTGACCTTTTGCAAGGCTCCCCTGTAAACTTGGTCCTGGCAGTAGATGATCTGCTCCATCTGAAAGTGAAGTCGGATCATCTTCTCTGCTTCCATTTCTTGTTCTAGCCTGAGGTCTTCAAGTTTGGACTGCAAGGAAAGAGAAATGTAAGCCAACATGACAATCAAAAAAATACTTGCCATGGAATGAGAACACAGGACACCCACAGGTCCACAAGCACCTGGTCACCTGGCAGAAACAAAAGTAGTCATCACCAGGGAGTAGTCCCTGTACCCCCTTGCTCAGCTCATCTATGCAGGGTCCCCCGAACTGAGGATGGAAACCAGAGGAAGCCTGAGTGTGTGTGGCCCCTATTCGAAGGCCAACCTTCAGTGTTAACTTGAGTGGGTTTATTTTTAAAGATCTGTTTATGTGTGTATTGCATGCATTTGTGTGTACCATGTTCATGCAAGTGCCTACAGAGGCCAGAAAAAGCTACTAAATCCCCTGGAGCTGGGGCTACAAATAGTTAGAGCCACCTGATATAGGTGTTGGGAATTGAACTCATGTCCTCTGCAAGAGCAGTAAAGCATTCTTAACCACCAAACCATCTCTCCCGCTCCTTGACTAGATTTAGAATCACTCTGAGCATGTCTGTAAAGGTATTTCCAGAGACGTTTAACTGAGGTGGAAGACCCAGCCTACGTGAGCACTGCTCTCTTATATAGTTTGGGCTTCTGAACACCAGCATTCATTCCTACTGCCCTGCCTTCCTGGCAAAATGGACTGTAACCCCTCAAACCATAAACCCTTATTAAATTTTTCTTACCAGATATTTGGTCACAACAAGAGGAGAAATAAGGCATAAACCTAGGAAGGGCTAGAGACCTGTGTGGATCCTCAGCCCTGACCCAGCCACTCTCCTGGGTTTGTTAGCTACTTTAACATCTACAATGAAGAGATGGCTTCTACCAGAGAGTGTGTAAAGATAAGAAGGTCTCAGTTTAGGTCAGTCACCTCCTATGGGTGTCATATTCTGGGCTTTCAGGACAACCAGGGAAGACAGCCTTTGCCTAGAGTGGATGCTGACCTGACCATTGCAGGGCAACCTCTGTAAATCAGAGTGCTAGGTGTGTCTCCAACTGCATTTCCCTTTAACATAACTTCCAGGGCCTCCCACACTGGGAACATAGGCCCATGAAACATCCTAGCTGTATGCTCAGGCTGGAGAATGGCAGACCCAGTAGCCACCTGCTCAGGACATGTCTGCCTGGGCAGGGGTTGAGTTTCTTGGCCATGCTAATCCCTATGGAAGTAGAGGTATTTTCCTCTTTGCTGCTGTGTGTCTCTAAATAGACACAATTTCACACTTAGGATCCCCACTGTTAGAAACAAGCCCGGACTGCTACTATGTCCCTGAGAATTCAGAAACCCTTCCCTCTCCTCAGCCTCACAGAGCATCAGCTGTCCTACTAAGCCAACAGACTCCCAGATGCCTGGATTTCTCATCATGGGAGGTTAAGTTTTTGTAAGACACATCACACACTTCAAAGGACATCAAAAGGCTACTGATGGGTACCTGGTGATTACCAGTGGCCACATCCTCCCCCCTTTCCCTTCTGCCTGCTGGGGTATCAAGTCTGTTCCATGGTCCTAATTCTTTATCAGATCCCCACCACAGTGTCTCTGGTCCTGGGGGGCCCTGACTTTCCTCAGAGTCGCTGGTATGCTATCTGTCTGTTTGCCCATGACACTAACAATTCTTCTATTGAAATGTCTTACTCCCCACAGTCCATTTCAGTGTCATCCCTGAGCCCCACATCTGACACCTTTCACTCAATGTGAGGAACCTCCCCGACAGAGTGCTCACCTGTAGATTTCAGCACTCATTTTTGTCCCTCCCTCCCCTCTCCCCCCTCTTCCTGCCCCCACATTAGCCAGACAGCACCAGTAACCTCATCAACAAGATTCAAGGAGGATCTTAAACCTTTTCCAAACAAGCACAGGAAAGGAGAAATAGTCTCAAACCCAAACATTTGCTCTCTTCTTGCCATATCCGTTTTGCTTTAAAAATAATACACACTTGTTTTTTTACCTTGGTAGTTCTGTGGAGGTTAAAAAACTCATCAAAATTTTTTTCAGAAACACTGGTGAAGGCTTCTCGTACCATTTCTGATTGAAGAGAGAAAGAAACAGTTTAACTTAGTAAGTAGTTAGGATGACATTCACTCGGTGTAGATGCAAAACGGGGGGGGGGGCACGGCAGGGGTGAAGGATGTGGGTGCTCTGCTCCCTCCCTTCTTTCTTTCCTCCCTGCCCAATGAAGAGGGAGGTACACCCAGGTTTCCAGAGAACTCTCTTTAATACAAACACAGCTGCAGGCTAAGGGTGGTCGTCACTTTGTATGACGGACTCTGGCTGTGCTGCTTACAGGATCCAGCTAAGGGTCTCCAAGGTTAGGTGACTCTACCCTCTGATAGCAAATCCCTGTGCCCACAGGGTCAGAATGGACTAAATTCTTGAACACCACAGTGACATCTAGAGCACAGAAAATCTGCCACCTACCCAGAACCAGCCCTAGAGGACAGCTCGGGGGTGTCCCCTGTCCCAGAAATAAAATGGCTGGAGCAACAGAAGCATTTCTAGTGACCCTGTATCACACACAGCGGTGACACTGTGCAGCCCTCACTCACCAGTGACCCTGTGCAGCATTTCTACAGCTGGCTCTTCCAGGACTTTGATTTGGCGTCTTATGATGTTCTCAAATGTTTTGTAGTTCACAAACCCTGGCAGCTCTCGGCCTCGATACTGCTTTTCAAATTTCCAGACTTCTTTATATAAAACATCATAACCTGCAGTAGGAGGCCACTGTTAGTTGTTTTATAAAGCCACCTTGCAAATTCTCCCAAACAAACCCATTCTGATCTTTACTGAATTCATTGAGATAAAATGAAGCAAGTAAATATCTGCAAACAGAAAGAAAGTTTGGGGTCACAGGGAAGAATGCACCCTCAGGGTCACTTCCCTCAGCTGAGGCTAAAGGCAAGTTCAGAGCCAGAGACCACGGCAGAATCCAGCAGGTGGAAACCAGAGGAAGACATGGTCTCAAAAAGACCCTGAATACATGGGTTTATGATCCTAAATGGATTTGACCAAAGAGTAAGAGTCAGAGCACATGGCTCACAGGCCCTGTGGTCCCTAGATAGAGTCAAGATCTGGGTGGCAGGAGGGGTGCCCCTTAGCAAGAGATGACAGGGCAAGTAGGCACCTGGATGGCCCCAGTGTGACCTGATCTCCCTGTTCATGACACAAAACACTTAGTCCTTCCGGACTGGAAATGGGCAGCGGACTCAGATGGCCCCAGCTTCCCTTGTGATGTACTAGCCTCTTTTTATTCTTTTATTTTATCAATTTTATGTGTATGGATGTTTTGCCTGAGTGAATGCCTGTGTACAATGTGCATACAGTGCCTCCAGTGGTCAGAGAGAGCATCAGATCCCCTGGGATTGGAGTTACAAATGGTTATGAGTCACCATGTGGGTGCTGGGGTTCAAACCTAGATCCCCTGGAAGAACAGAAAATGGTCTTAACCACTGAGCCATCACTCCAGTCCTCCAAAGAATATTTTTTATTAAAAGAAAACTTTACTCGTTAAACAAGACTTCGAGTATATTCAGAGTTGTGAGCCAAGCTCCACAGTTTCATCCTTGATTCTGGGATGTTTCTGTCACCCACAGGAACTGCTACTCTCATCAGCCGTCAACGCCTCCCTTTCTGCCCTCTCTCCAACCTTGCAGCCTCTGCTCTACCTTCTGTCTATACCATGTATGTATTCTGGGTGTTTCTGAAATGGAGTCACATGCCACGGGCCACTGTGACTGGTGGTCCACTCAGTATCCCGTCATCAAGGCTTATCCGCCTTGTACCTTGTATCTCCAGTCTTTCTGTGCGTTAAAACACTCCGCTGAGTGATGCTAAGAGCTGAATCACCTCCCTCAAAATCTTTGCGTTGTGGTCCTAGCCACCCAGCATCTCAGGCCAGGACTATTTGCAGATGAAGTTTTTTAAAAAGAAATTACTAAGCAGAAAGGAATCTCTTAGGGTGGTCTCTAACCCACTGTGTCTCGGGTCCTTACAGGGACTGACAAGGACATATCATAATACCCAAAGCAAAGGACTTGTGAAGACATGGAGAGAAGACCCCAGGTTCAGGGTAAAGGGGAATTTAGTAGAGGAAATAGACATCTTTCCAGTGCCCCTTGGGAGTGGAAGTGGGCATCCTGTGTTAGCCTCTCTGAGGACTCACTGCTGTAACCCACGGCAACCGTACCACTTCCCATTCCCCACCAGTACACCAGGGCTTCCTTTTCCTGGTCTCTTCTCTTGCAAGTGTCTGCCTTTCTGATTCAAATTTCCCCAGGGGCTGGAGCAGGAATTATCCCTGTGTTTTCATTTGCATTTCTGATGGCCACTGGCCATGTATCTGTGTTTCATTAGCCATTTGTATATCTTCTTTTAAGGAAAACGTCTTTTACAGTCCTAACTGGATGCTGTTCTTGCACCTTAGAGATGCAAGCTTCTTTGAATACTCTAGTCTCTAGGCCCCTCCTCCATCAGATATAATGGCAGACACTTCTGAAGTTCTGAAATGGGACAGTGACTGTGGCCTGGTGTGAGGACACAGTCCAGGGTCTATAAGTGTTCAGCTGCAGCTGTCTGGACTTAGCAGTGGTGAGTACAGCAGAAATGATGGGCACAGTGGGGACATTGGAGAGTCACAGCCTTTAAAATAAGTGTCCTGCAGGGCAGTGGTAGGTGCACGCCTTTAATCCCAGCACTAGGGAAGCAGAGGCCATCGGATCCCTGTGAATTTGAGGACAGCCTGGTCTACAAAGCTACTCATAGAAACCCTGTCTTGAAAAGTAACCCGCCCCTCAAAATAAGTGTTTCATAAGGCTTTCTACAAAGGCCACCTGATATACCATCCCCGAGGGACTAGCAGATTCTATGTGTAGCCTGAAGGAGATAGAACACTCACTCCACTTTGTACATCTGTCACTCGCAGCCAAGGGAAGCTGTTTGTCAGAACCTCCGATTTGTTCAAACTAATTACATGCTTTCATCAAACCTCTTCAAGGAAGGCAAAGTCCCTTGGAATTCCCCTCAGCCATGGCAGCTTTCTCAGCACAGACATTTGATCAAAGAACAGATTCATAGTACTTCAGCCTAACGCTCTCCCAACTGAGCTATTTCAGCCTGGTTTGTAGTACTTTCTCCCTGCTTCAGATTTTGAAGCTATGGAGATGAGGTGGGGGTGCTGCATGCACTTATATTATCTTCTCATTGCCATAATGAAATGTGTTCAGATGCCCCAGGCTTAAGGCCCTGGGTAGGCAGCAGTTTCCTCTAAGATTAAGGCTTTCCATTTGTGAGGGACACTCCTCAAGGCACAGGATGAAGAAAGGAAGTGAAGAAACAGGATGATCTTAAGGGAGGTGAAAAGCTACATCCTCCAGGGAAGCTCCTTAAACTCAGGAAGTCAACAACTGGATGACTTCAGAAAGTCCCTGACACTGACTATATTCACCAGGCCCACGTGTATATAATAGGGGCTGCTGAGACTCACTCTCAGGTAAGCTCAACTACCTGGAAGAAGCAGAGACCAGTCAAGCCGCCTGGTAGATAGATGCTCAGGTCCACTGAACTACCCAGAACTACATCTCCACCCTGTTAAGCAGAAAGCAGGCTGTTCAGTGTGCTCCAGATTTCATGAGTAGGAGTGGGCTCTGATTTACAGCTGTCTTTGACTCATTTCTATGCCTGTGAGTAACCCTTCACCCATAGTCTGCTAAATAAACCCAATAAAACCCATTGGCTCACCAAGTTAGACTTTGCTAGTATCTGTATTTTGGTTTGTTGTCAGTTCTCTATCTGATATATTACCAAAGTTCGTAAGTTGAACTTCATTCTTAGTGTACTGGAACTGAAAGGCAGCCCTTTAAGAATTGACTAGGACATGAAAGCGCTATTGTCTTTTTGGGGGGGGTTCTCATCCTCCACACATGAGGACCAGGCTAGGTGGTGCTATCTTGGGAGATGGAGACCGCACCAGCCACCTCGTTGTCTGATGCCTTGACCTGGGACTTCTTAGCTCCCAAAATTGTGAGTGATGGTCTCCTATTGTCTATAACAATGGAGTGTAAGATTGTTAAGGATGGCAACCCAGACTGAACAAAACACTCACCGCTTTGGAAATTATCTTCAATCTCCTTACTCCATAACAAGAACTGGTCTCGGATCTTGGTGAACAGGCGACATTCTCCCTCCCCCACATTCTCCTCCCCTTGTACTATGGCAGTGATGTCCTGGTTAAAAGTGTTGATTTTCTGTCAAGAAGAAAAACAATGGTATAAGCAGAGATCTTTTAAGCACGGGGTCAAGGTAGTAACGGGACATGTGTGCCCTGGAGGTAGGTGAGCCACCTCCTTCTCATGGACTCAGCAGAAGATATAGAGAAGGAAACACCTCCCTTCTCCCCTTTCCTTTAAGATCCTTGGGGAGAACTCTTCTGTCAATGTGGATAAAATGAAAATGCCCCCCTCAAGCCCCACCCTGCACTCAACCACAGTCTCTGTCCTGATGCCTTTCTTTTTAAACACTAAATGGGCAGGATGCAGCCCCATCAGTCTTGGAGGCATGATTATCTGAAGAGCACTGTAGACAGTGATGCAGTTATTATGCCTGGAACTATAGAGAACGCTCACTTCTATCAGGAAGAAAGTTTTCTCATTGTCATCTTCTGGTATGTCTGCGCCATACTTCTGCAGCTCCTCGCTCGCACTCTGGTAACAGTTCTTTATTTGGTTTTCTAACAAAGGCAGAGATTTCTGAAATGGAAAGAAGTGAATGGGATATGGAAATATAGACTGGGAATGCAAAGGAGGCCCCAAGCTTGCTCTGCAGAGTCACCATGACACACGGGTAACATTCTGAAGTCCTGATGGAGTTCCCCTGGTGCAGAGCAGCCCTCGAGAAGCATTCCTTTCCACACCTCCATCTGCTATGTAACCCTGTCCACTGTACATGGCTGCCTCATAAGAGAGCCACCCAGGAACATCTCCTTCTGTATCAGGGATATCAGCTCTCTTCAGGGAAATGCCACAAAACACCTTTAAGTAGCCTCTGAAACAGGGAAAGTTATAACAACATAAGACTCCTAAACCTTTGTATCACTTTCAACGGGTCAAAAGCTGCCCAGGATTCTTACGTCCAAGGAAGTTTCTATACCTGGGCTGTCCCCAGGGCAGCTCAAGGCTCAGAGGTCAGCAAGAACAGGTCTGCCTCTGTCTGCATCAAGGAGTCCCAGAGAGCCTCAAGATAATGGTGCCCTGAAGATGCCCTGATCTCCACTTGCAACCTGGGGACTGCATGAAGACCTTGAACACAGGAAGAGCCCAGCAGAAGATCATGGCTGAGTATCTTTCCACAGCAGTCCTCAAGCAGGTCTGGACATGTCCTGTGGATTCTCAACTCCCCAGGTGGTTTGAGATGCAGACCCTACCAGGTCATAGAATGAGGGGCTCACAGCTATTGCCACCCAAAACCTATGGGTGACAGCAGCAGACACCAGCACAAAGTCTTCTGATATTGGAATCACTGACTCCCAAACACGCGTGTCAGCTTGTGTGCCCAAGACTTTCCCAGACCCAGCTCAGGTTGATGGAGACCCAACCATCCCAGCTTACACAAATGTGTGAGATGAGCTCCGTGGTCAGTCTCTCTGCCAGATAGGGCACTGTGGCCTTCCCATCCTCCAGAAGAACTCTGAGGGAATGGAGAGAGAATGCCATTAGACTTTGTTAGAACACAAGTCTCCTGCCTGCTGTGGGGAGGCCACACCCAGTTTGGGTACTATCAATGAATGGGTGCCTTGACATTGGTACTCATGGAGTACTCAGAGATGGTTTTGTACAATGATACAGGGGAACCAGCTAGGATAGTTCCACAATGGGCTACAATGGTCCCCCTCAGCACATTAATGATCAGAGTAAAGTCTGTTCTCCACATGTACACAAGTACAGATAAGTTATCATAGCACAATATTCCCTTCTATGAGTGATACACATCAGCACATATGCACACACCTTCTATGTGTGACGCACACAAGTATACAACACACCCTTCCATGTGTGACATGTGAGTAAACACACACATGTAGAATACATACAAGTAAACACCCCCCCCATGCAGGCTATACTCATGAATACATGCACACACATACATAATATACAAGAATACACACAATACATATAAATTCAGGTCTTTATGACTTGTATTTGTGTATGTATGATGAACAACTGAAGTGGGGAGACACACTCTGGTCTGAGAAAGGATTTAAGCCATAGGCTCTTAAAGGCATGAAGCTACACTGTTCCCATGCTGCTAAAATCTGTGTTCAGACAGTATGTGCTTATGCCTTGGGATACGAGTCATCAGGGAGTTAGAACTTGTTCTGTCTGTGAGAGATAGCTTACTCTTATTGGGGCTCCAGTTCCCACACTGGTCAATTTATTTAAACAAACAAACTGTAGTAGAACAGAAACAATGGAAACTTTGTTTTGAGCCAGGGTCTCTCTACATAGCTCTGTATGTGGTGGAACTCACTATGTAGATTAGGCTGGCTTCCAGCTCATAGAGATCCACCTGTAATGATGATAGTCAATGCTATAGGGAATACAATATATTTATTTACCAGAGAGAGAGAATCACACAAGCTGGGAGTCAGAAGCATGGCTGGCTTCCAAAAGAGGAAGTCCTTTTTCCTTTCACTTTCTTTTATCTCTACCTGTGCTAATTTACTTGTCCCCGCCATCATGGGCAGATAACTTTGTGGGGTCCACTCCTACACACCTGCCCCTGCCTCCCAAGTTCTGGGATTAAAGGCATTCACATAATGGAAACTTTTAAAGCCAGAAGGGCCTGGAAAGATATACTCCAAGTTCTGAAAGATCATAACTGTTGACCCAGACTATTACACCCAGCAAAGCTATTTATTAAAATTGATGGAGAGATAAAAACAGATTTAGGGAATTCATGACTGCTGATTCAGCTAACAGAGGATCCTGAGAGAAATACAGGGCTCTGAAGAGAAGGATAAATATAGCCAAGAGATCACAGGGAATAAATAGGCAATACTATAACTGTTTATCAAAAGATGTCAAAGAATAACACAAAGTAAATGAATGACAAAGCCAAGAATGGTGGTGTAGAGATCTCTTGTGAGTTTGAGGCTAGCCTGGTCTACATAGTGAATTCTAGGACAGACAGAACTACATGGTGAGACCCTGTCTCAAAATACAAAATACAAAAAAAAAAATCAAAAATTAATGGCAGGAAATAGCATGTATCTGTCCATAATAATTCTGAATATTAAGTCTCAGTTCCTCAATAAAAACAGGCTAGCAGATTGAATCTGAAAATAGAATCTATCTTTTTTGCTGCCTCCAGAAGACACAGTTTACTATTAATGATTGACATGACCTCAGAATTAATCTAGCACACAAGCAGGTTAGATATTCTAATCTCTGATAATATAGACTTCAACATAAAAACTGGTCAAAAGAGACAAGTAGGAATGCTTTAAACTTACCAAAGGAACAAACTACCAAGAGGATGCTATAATCTTAAACATGTTGGCACTAAACAAAGGGCCACCAATTTCATTTTAAAATGGTATTAATCAATCTGTGTAAAACAGGATTGATTTTAAAACGGTGTTATTCAATCTGTGTAGAACCACAGACTGACTAACACACTGATAGTGGTGACCTCAATATCCAACTTGTATCAATAGGTAGGCCATCTGGACAAGATCTAAGCAGAGAAACATGGCAGTTGAATGACATCAGAAATCAAATGGAGTTAGGCCTACTGATTCATGCCTTTAATCCACACATAGGAAGGCAGATCTCTGTGAGTTTGAGGACAACTTGCTCTACATAGTGAGTTCCAGGACAGCCAGAGATTAGTAGAGGCACCTTATCTCAAACAGACAGACAGACAGAAATGAGAAGAAAAAAGAAATCAAGTAGACCTAACAGACATCTATAGAACATTCTACCCAAACATTAAAGAATACACATCTACACATTATTCTCAGAGTCTCAACAAAGGACAATTTAAATAACATCCTACATTCTATCTGACCACAACAAAGTTAAGCAATGTATCAATAGCAATACAAATCACAGGCAATACACAGTCTCAAGGACACTAAACAACATAGTACTGAATGGTGATTGTCATTCAGAAGAAATATGGAAATTAAAAATTCCAAGAATTTGTTGGGTGGTGGCAGCACACACCTTTAATCCCAGCACTTGGAAGGCAGAGACAGTTGTATCTCTTGAGTTTGAGGTCAGCCGGGTCTATAGAGTTTTAGAAGATCCAGGGATATACAGAGAAAACCTGTCTCAAAAAAAAAAAAAAGAAAGGAAAAAAAACAGAGAGACAGAAAGACAGAGAGACAGACAGAGAGAAACAAAGAAAAGAAAAAAGAAAGAAAATCTAAGAATTGAAGGGAAATGAAAATACAGCATATAAAAAATCTACAGGACACAGTGAAAGCAGTCCTAAGAAAAATGTTTACAGTACAAGTGCACCAAAAATTGTGATATATTTGGGGCTGCAGAGATGGCTCAGTGATGGGGGATGTCCTTCTATACGCTGTGAATATAAGTTTCTCTTATTGGTTGGTGAATAAATGCTCATTGGCCAGTAGCCAGGCAGGAAGTATAGGCGGAGCTACTGGACTAGAAATGCTGGGAAGAGGAGGACAGACTGAGAGTCACAAGAAGAGATCATGTAGCTGCCAAAGGAGGAACACACTGGAACATTATGGGTAAGTCACAGCCTCATGGCAATGCATAGTTTAATAGAAGTGGGTTAATAATTAAGAGAGAGTTAGCCAATAAGAAGCCTAAGCCATCGGCCAAACCATTTATAATTAATATACGCCTCTGTGTGCCTATTTGGGACTAAAGGGCTGAGGGATCAGGCAAGACAGAAACTCTGTTTACAGCTCAGGGGTTAAGAGCATTAGTTGCTCTTCCAAAGGTCATGAGTTCAATTCCCAGCAACTACCTAATGGCTCACAACCATCTGTAATGAGATCTGGTGCCCTCTTATGGCATGTAGGCAGAACCCTGTATACATAATAAATAAATAAATCTCTAAAATATTTTTGATAAATCACAAATTAGTAACTTAACGATGCATTTGAAACACTTGGAAAATCAAGAGCAAACAACACCCCCAAACCACAGATTAAATGAGATAATAAAAAATACTATTGAAAAAATACAAAGAATCAATAAAATGAGCACTTTGGTCCTCAAAAAAAGATAAACAAGATTGACGAATCCTTGGTCAAATGAGAGAGAGAGAGAAAGAGAGAGAGAGAGAGAGAGAGAGAGAGAGAGAGAGAGAGAGAGAGAGGAGAGAGAGAGAGAGAGAGAGAGAGACAGAGAAAGAGAGAGATTGCAATAGATCAAAGCAGAGTGCAGACATGCAGACACTGAAAAAGACATACTTTAAAAACCTATATTCCATGAAACTGAAAAGCCTAAAAGACATGGAAGAAATCTTAGATGCATACAACATATCAAAATTAAACCAAGATGAAATAGACAGTTTAGACAGATTCATAGCCAGGAATGATATTGAAACAGTAATAAAAACTCTCCCAACTAACAAAGGCTCAAGACCAGATAGATTCACTGCAGAATTCTGCCAGACCTTCAAGAAATTCACACGAGCACTGCTCAAATTATTCCTGAAATAGAAAATGAAGGACATATTCCAAACTCTTCTCTATGAAGCCAGTATTACATTGATACCAAAACCAGATAAAAAGAAGACAAAAATTACAGACAAATCTCTTGGGTGAAGAAATATGAAAAATTCTCGATAAAATATCAGCAAACCAAATTGCTGTGCATACAAACAATATCATTCATCACATCCAAGTGGTGTCATTCCAAAGATATAGGGATGTGTTGAACATATGCAAATCAATTCATATTATCATCATACAATGTACTCAAAGACAAATCACATGATCATCATTAGACACAAAAGAAGCCTTTGACAAAATCCAGTATCTATCTCTTCATGACAAAAATCATGGAGACACTAGGGATGGACAGCTATATACAAAAAAATCTATAGCCAAAGTCATACTAAATGGAAACAAATCAAACAGTTCCCATTAAGATTAGGACAGCCTTTTCAAAGAGAATGTTCCTGCAGTAGGGAGTTCTTGGTGGGATTTAAGCCATCAGTAGCAGGTGTGTTTGGAAGCTCAGATATTATTATTTTGACTATTGTTGTCTGGACTTTATTTTGCCATAACATGTCAATCAAGAGCCTGGCCTAGTTTTCTGCATGTACTGAACAGTTGTCTATGCCAAGATGGCTAAAGAATCATTTAGCATGGCCGAGTGCTGCTTTTATGAAGGACAGCTTCTACTTTTCCTCTGCTCTGTTCTACTTGAGACTCTAGCTACTGCACCACTTTATTGTGGTACTTTGTCAAGTTTCCTCCTCTTGTTTACTGCTCATTGGTCTTTAAGGACTACTTTGTGCATACTGCTTCCTTTCAGGAACTTCCTTTGGTGGTTCCCAATTGTCCTCAGGCTGCTGCACATACACCCCTCATGTCAGGTCTGTTCTTGACCAGCACTTCTTTTCACTGCATGAGACAGTCTGGCAGAGGTACCTGAAGTGTGGGTGATCCTGGAAGAAGGCTTGCTCCTTCTCAAGAGCCTCAGTCAGGCTCAGCTGCTCCTGGATGTCCTGCTGACCCCTGCACTTGACTACCATGTAGCCCTTCTTCAAGTGGTACACCAGGTTCCGCACCACATCAACGACCTTGTCTTCAGTACCTCTGTCCACCAGATCAGGCTTGGTCAAGATCCCTGTACGACAGACACTAATATCAGAAGACACACTCTGCTCCAAGATAGCAGGAAGTCACCAGGATCTCATCCTTGACTGGGGCAGACAGAAGGAACCCATGCAAGGTGGAAACTCACCCATAGAGGTATGTACAGGTAACCTTGTGAAAACAACAAAGTCCCCGGATCAACTGCAGTCTCCTTTCTGGCACCTCTCCATGGCCACCACCCAGAGAGACAACAGCTGCCCATCCTTACTCTCTGTGTGGACCTTACCATGGCCCCTAAACCAGTGAGTCTCAGCAAATATGATTTCCTCCGCATGCTTGCCTACCTCTGACTCCTCATCTACCAGGGAGGTGAGATGAAGGGGTCACTTGATCCCAACTCACCGGGACCCTGGGTGTGCACTGAGCTTGGTCCATTTGGATCCAGGGGATTTGTCCCCACTGGCACCCACATATCACTCTTATCTCCCACTCTCCTCACCTATGGTCCTGTCCCCTTCAGGGTCCACCTCCTGAGCCATGCTCAGTGCCTCGGTGGTGGCAATGTCCACATTACTGGGGACCACCACCAGGTTGATGGTCTCCTGTTTCTGGATGTATTTCTTGATGAGCCTCTTGATCTGTAAGAAATGAGATGGCAACTCCTAGTTATGGAGGCAGGATTGAGAGTGTGATGGTTGTGACCATCCACTTGCTTCAGGCCCTGGCTTCTGTGGACTGCACCCCTCTGTAGTGAATCCTGGCCATCCAGTCTGACTCCCACCTCCACAAGGTCCCTCTTAGACACAGCCATGGACACACTCCAGTGTCCCTTGCATCCCAGTGTGGGTCAGAGTGGAATCCAGAGTCTCACCTGGTGTCCAATGTCTGCAGGCTGGTTGCCGACAGCCACCCTGGTGATCCCAGGCAGGTCAATCAGGGTCAGGTCTGGAACACTCGGGGAGCTGACATCCAGGCTAATGAGTTTATCACTGATCCCCAGCCCTATCCCAGCAATTAAGTTCTGGGCTGGGAGGAGGAAAAAGGGAACTTGGTTAAGCTTTGTGGGTTGGGATAGGGAGACAAGAGGGCAGATGGAGGGATCTTATTCCAGAGAACTCTGGGAAAGCATGCCTTGTCTATGTAGTGACCCCACAGGTACCTGTATTGAAAAGTTGGGCTGGTCCCCACCTGATCATATTTAGAGCTTCTAGACACTTTGGGAGGTGGAACCATGCTGGAGGATAGCGGGAAAGTCCATATGTTTTATTTCTGGCCCTTTCCTGTAGCACCCTGTTTCCTCTCTGTCACCACTTATTCCGGTCACAATAATGTTCCTCCCAGGATCATAGGAAAAGGTGACCATTGGAAAAACCCAGGAGAGAAACATGTCCTGCTGTAAGGAACTCTGTAAGAAATTGTGGACTGGAGAGATGGCTCAGAGGTTAAGAGCACTGGCTAGTCTTCCAGAGGTCCTGGGTTCAATTCCCAGCAATCACACAGTGGCTCACAACCATCTATAATGAGATCTGGTGCCCCCTTCTGGCATGCATGCCAGACACTGTATGCATAATAAATAAATAAATCTTTTAAAAAAAAAAACAAAAGAAATTGTGCCACAGTCACTAAGAAGGAATGTAAAGCCTCTTCTGTCCCAGGACTGTGGGTGACAGCAGGTTTGAAGGGGTTTCATTTTCTGTGCAGGAACAAGGTCTTGACAGAATGACTCAGCACTTCTCCTCTGACCCCAGGCAGTGCTGACAGAATGACTCAGCACTTCTCCTCTGACCCCAGGCAGTGCTGACAGAATGACTCAGCACTTCTCCTCTGACCCCAGGCAGTGCTGACAGAATGACTCAGCACTTCTCCTCTGACCCCAGGCAGTGTTAACAGAATGACTCAGCACTTCTCTGACCCCAGGCAGTGCTGACAGAATGACTCAGCACTTCTCCTCTGACCCCAGGCAGTGCTGACAGAATGACTCAGCACTTCTCCTCTGACCCCAGGCAGTGTTAACAGAATGACTCAGCACTTCTCTGACCCCAGGCAGTGTTAACAGAATGACTCAGCACTTCTCTGACCCCCCCAGGCAGTGTTAACAGAATGACTCAGCACTTCTCTGACCCCAGGCAGTACTGACAGACAGTCAAAGGATAAGGTCCAACAGGACACTGACCTTTGTTGATGGCATCTTCCACCTCTGAGGGATCAGAGAGCTTCAATTCATTGTCTTCATAGGTGACTTTGCCTTTCCACTGCTCTCCCTGCTCCAGCTTCCTCAATTTCAGCACCAGAGGGCATCTGGTGACAATACCTAGGAGATGAGGTTCCGTGTTAGCCAGCCCAGTGCTCTGCTGAGCACAGCCCAGCATAGGGCCTTAGATTGACAAACCTTCACACACTCATCTGTAGAGACTCTGGGAATGGAAATGCCTGGCCTCACTCTAATGTCTCCCATTCAGCATGACCCCAAGCCTGTGTTCTTGGAACAGGAACCCAGGTCATGTTTATCCATTTGGGGTAAAAAGCCACCGGCCATTTTAGACTGCTCCCTTCCAGTGTGGCACCCTCAGCTCTGTGGGGACCTTGGTGGAACTTTTAACGTATCAGACATTTTCCACTAGCCCTCATGTATCCTAAGTCATGGTGTCTCTCAGGACACTTTATCACGCCTTCTGTTATGATCTCCTTCCAACTCCTGCCTCATGGAGTTCCACCTGGGTCCCTGTCCCACATCTGTTCCAACTTCTCGGTGAGCACTCAGTGACCGCCTCAACTGTGGAGTTTAAGCAGCAATGCTAACCTGGACACCGGTCACTTCTCTAAAAGGAATGGTCACCTCAAAGGAAGGGACTAGGGACCTGACCCACTTAGGCACCACTTATTCAAACTGCAGATTTCAAGTGACTCACAATATGTTCAGAAATGGGCTGAAAGCTGCCCCCACACCCAGCACATGTGCTCAGCCCCAACACCTACAGTGATCGTTGGATACAAAGCTCTAAAGGAGGTAACTTAGGCTGATGGAGGCCTTGAGAAGCTGCGTGGGTGGAGCCCTAACCACTGAGACTGGTGACCCTGTGATTGTGAAAGGAGGAAGAAAATGCAAGGCTGTACAGAGGAAAGATTGCCCACAAGCCAAGGAGGAAGACCATCTTGACCTTCATTGTGCTGTGCCCAAACTGGGAGGAGATCTGTTTCTATCTTTTGAGCCCCAGGTCCCACAGCCTAGCAAAGCAATAAGCACTGAGCTCTCACCACTGCCTCTGGGGAGGGCCACTCCGGACAGTGCTTCCAACACAGAGCTCTTCCCTGAGCTCTGGTCCCCGATGACTGCGATGGCGGGCAGGGCCAGGTCCTGCTCCACACCCAGGGCCCGCAGGGAGTCGATGAGGTCGATGCAGGGCCGCACCTTCTCCTCATACTGCCTGCAGAGGTTGTTCACAGAGTCCTAGAGGAAGCAAAGCAAGAGTAAGGGCATACTCCATGGAGATGCTCCAGCGAAGACTACTGAGTTCAAGAAGTTGTTAGGATCTCCAAGAGTGAGAAATGGGCAAGCATATGTTTGAGGAAATAAAAAAAAAACATCACTTTTTGTGTACTGATGATGAAAATGATAGAATCCATATTGTTGTGCCTGCTCCAAGAACCTAAGGTGCTGCACACTCCTGATTATCAGGCTGGAACTGCAGAGGTGACCCCAGTTCACTGTCACCAGAGAAGAGGAGTGGCATGGGTTTCTGAGGAGGAATTAAGTCATTTCCCTTGTTCACAGTTTTTACAGGGCCATGGCAAAAACAAAGGCTGAAGTAATCTCTATGGAGATTGAATGCTAATTGTATTGTAACGGGTTGAGCCAACAGCCGGTCACACACTCTATGCATGTCCTTTGGCCCAACCAGGAGATGCTCATGTACTGTTTATGCTCTACCTGCCCAGTTAGGAGTAATTGAAGCCTCTTACTCCAGCTTTGGTACTGACAATTCCCTAGTTATTGGTTGCTCTGCCAGTGTTAACTCCTGCCTCCGAGGCACACGCACATACTTCACAGGTGTCTCCAGTGCTGTTGATTATTCTAACCTCTCTTTGTTCTCACACTGATTGGCTTGCAGCTTGTACCACTACAGGGAATTCTATCACAGCCATCAAGATGTTTTGAAGTATTTCTTGGTTACCACATATTTGGCTACTTATCTGTGGGGTTGTCTGAGATGGTCTCCCAACTACAAGCTTCTAGTTAGAAGCCATCCTTATGTATAATTTACTCTATTACAGTTGGCTTCATTAGAAGACAGAATATAAGGTGAATCATGCCCTACATATGTATGTCCTCAAGGACTTCCCACGAGCCTGCTGGCCTGTGTCACTGGACAACAGGTCTGCTCATTCTCTTATCTGTTTGGCATGTTTATCTCATATCTAACTCCAAGCCCTCCTACTCAATCTTCCTCAGTCTTTAGACACCACCCTTTTTAACTCTTGGTCTCCCTTTTAACCACAGCCTCTGTTTTCACTGTAACATGTGTGGGCAGCTTGCAGTTTGTCATCCTGGGCCACTTTCCCCTTACTACCTACTGAGGGCCAGGGTCTGCCTCCTTAACATCAATCATAGCCCAAAGGTTGAAGAAAGTCAACAAACTTCAGGTGCAGAATACACAAAAAGAAACTACACCAAGGCTCATTTGAATCAAATGACTCAAAACTAGTTATAAATAGAAGGCAATAAAAGTAGTCAGAAAAATGACACTTTACATACATGAGAAACAAACACAAGATTGACAGCCAATTTCAAAACCGAAAGAATGGAAGCGTGAAGACAGTAGGGTGGCATTTGCCAAAACATCTTTGATGCTGTAACAATAAACGGCACAGTTACTGAAAGTAAAACTAAGTATTTATTGTAGAAATTACTCACAAGATACCAAACAAGTAACCCAGATGAGCCAAGTAGTTTTCCCGCTGCCGAACAGGAAGCCGAACTCCGGGAAAAGAGACCAAGACTTCCTGTGTGCTGTCTTTTATGCCTTCCCCTGTAACGCCCCCTAGCCATGCCCAAAAGTGGGCCTGGCTAGTGACGTAGTTCACTGCCTACATATGTATACGTCTTTAGTCATGCCTAAAGTGGGTGTGGTTAGCGGTGTGGTAAACTGCCCTTTTATTACCTCATCTGTATGCGCCTCTAGTAAGTCACATGGTTAATGGCGGGATACAGGCTTCCTCCTACACATCTTGATAACTGGCTACATCTCCATTTTGAAAAATGTTTATATTGCTGACAAAAGCACCATGAACCTAGACTTCCATACCCAGAAACAAAAATATCTGTTTTTGAAATGAGGAGAAGAGTGAAGCTACATCGCAAGGGAGAACTATCAGTAAGCACTGGATGGTTGGGAATTAGTATATCCTTGGTTAGCAATGTGGCCTTTATTTTACAAGCTGCAAGAAGCCAGGGAGGTTCATTTATTTATTCATTTTTAAGAAGTGTTAATTAAGTTACAATTCCATTAGAAAAGAAGATGAGAGTTTGGTTTAGTGGTAAGTGTTGGATAGGTCATTGGGCACTTTGCACATATCTTTCCCATCTCTACATAAAGCAATTACACAAGGGCTATGTTATCACTAGATCCTATAATTTATATGGAAAACTAAGACTTGGAGAATGGAAATAACCCTGGAGAGTCAAACTCACCCTGGTTGAAAGGTGACAGTTAAGGAGTCAGATAGCCTGACTCTGAAACTCTCCCTAAGCTGTTCTCATGAAAATCAGGAGATGATTATTACAAATAGAAACACAGAAAATTATGGCAAAATACAGACTTTCCATATATGAAGCCTGAGCAAACTTATCCACGCTGCAGGAACTGTAAAAGGCATTCCGAGTACAGGGGGAAAGTGACAGGAGAGGAGTCCTAAACCCGCATCCTGGATTAGGCAACACAAGTGGTTACTGGTACAGATTTCTTATGACTTCACCATCCTTAAATGACACCTGAGCACAAACAGTGGCAATACATTGTGGGATTTCTGATTAATGGATAAGGAAGACCATGACAGATGAGATGGAGGCCAACAGCAGAGAAAGAGTTCTTACACCACACAGGAAGTTGTTATTCTGTCCCTCACAGATAGCCTTACTGAGTTTATTAAACACAAACACTACAGATACTAACATAGCGAAACAGCCAGCAGAGGATATGATGTGCACTCCTAAAATATAGATGTTTAATCCCAAATGTGGAAGACTAGAAGGAAAAGAGGGAGAAAGAACAAATGCTTCACACATAAAAATTTAACAAAGAGCAACACGTGTTCTCACCTAACAGCAGCATATTAAATATAAATGGCTTAAATTCTGTTCCAACAGGCAAAAAGGCCCTAGAACAGAGTTACAAAGTGTGTGGATGGGAGCCTATTGTCCCTAGAGAGGGATAAAGTTGTGGCTGAGAGGGTGTGTACTTCACAGAATGGAACAGGGCACTGGCAGAACACAATATACAACTCTAGAAGTCACCACATGGAACTGACGTTAACAAGATACAAAGGCAATGTCTGTTGAAAGGCCTGGCTTTTCACCAAGCCATATTGAAACATGTCACTATCTACATTTAAATGAAAAGACATACATTGCTATCCCATACCATAAAAATGAGATCTTCATCCATCACAGACCTAGATGGAAAAAAGACAAATATTGATGCTCCAACAGCAAAAATCCCCAAATGTGAGTTAGGTCCTGGTTTATTAGAAATGACCCCAAAGGCGCAATCCAGACAAGAATTCATAAAGTCATCAAAGCTGAAGACCAGGGAGCAAATGTTTGCAAAGTATATATCTGGCAAAGGATTAATATGGGCTTCAGCCTAACACAGACCACACTGACACAGACTGCCTAGCTAGATGTGGTCTGACCCCACTGAACACACCCAGGACAGCTTCTGGGTCTGAGACTTCACTATGCCTATGGTGCCCAGCAGTCAGTCTGAGTCCTGGCAATATTCTGGTTTTGTGCTCTTGTATCATCCATTTAATAAACAGCTAATAAAATAGAAAGAGCAATAAGCTAAGGCACAGGTTCCTCACCCCATCCCCCAGCCCCCATGAAGGGAACAACTTTTCTAAGACAAGGGCACTCCATCCACACCTTACCTCTCTCCCATCACTCACCATATGGAGAGTTTCTTCTGTGCTAAGAACCATCTTTGATTTCTTCTTAGTTCTGGGAATTCTGTTGGAAATAAGGATTGTAAATTGGAAACCAATTGTTCAGACCTTGGCTAAGATTCACATCAGAGATAACAGTATTACAACCTCCATTCCTTTCCTACCGTCCCCAGGGGTTTGTGCTTCCCAAAAACATAAGCCCATCATCTCTCCTGGAAAGGCAAGTGTTTATTTCTGATGTGGGAGACAGATCACATAGGATAGTTATTATAAAGGCACTCATAGAGTCTGTTAATCTAGATTTTTTTTTCAGACACAGGTCTCCTCCTGCTTTGGAAAGACCTCATATTGAGTGAATAACCCTTTACTCTCTGTTTGAGCCTCTTCTATTGGTCCATGGCTGTCTTTGTTAGTTTTGATGTACAATCAAGGGATATCACTGGTCCCCACACCTTGTATCCCATGACCAAAGGTCCTGGTGACCAGTCAAAACGGGACTTAGGGAATCTGTTCCTTTCCTGGAATCTAAGCCCTATGTTGTGTCTGCAAATCACAAACATGTGCAATTTTCCTGAATCACCTTTGAGACTTGGTGGCTCTCAGGAGCAGAGCAACCTCAAGGATCACACGCTCCTCTGTTCATTCAGTGCCCTGGGAAGCCAGCTGCACTGTCAACCTGAGGTGAGTGCATCTGCCCATCTTAGATCTTGGTCCAGTCAAGCTCAGGCTGCTCCCAGCACTAGATCAACCCTAATTTTCAGGGGAGCTACAAGGACACCCTTGCCTCCTGCCTTCCCACTTCCTAACTCTTTTACACTACAGATCCTGTTGCACAGAGACTATCAGGGAAGCCCCGCCACATTTTGGGCAGGCTTCTGCCTCAACTGAAGGCCAGGGTCAGGCACACGCAAGTAACCAGGTGTGGTGGGCTCTAAGCATTCCTACCCAGGCATGTCTGTGCCCATTTGTACTGTTCTTGGAGTGATTGGCTACACTTCCACTCAGCAGTGGGCATTTGCCAATGACCCTAATATGCCATATACCATTTAGTATGGATAAAGATCCCAATGGCAGGGCTCCCCTGGGTTTCTGTCCTGTTGGGAAAGCATCCTCAGCCCAGTTAGAAACAGGAGCAGCATGGGAATAGGATCCAGCCCCTTTCACTGTCAGAACCCCTAACCACCCCTACCCTGTCTGTCCAGGAAAACTGAGGTGATAAGAATGGGAGCCTTCCCAGGCCTGTCTGGGTGTTAAAGTGGCCACAGAGAGAATCAAGAGCCCTTTCTTCTCCCAGGTTCCTGCCCTCCATGTCCCCCTGCTGTTGAGCCTTTGAAATGGGAGGTCTGTGGGACACCCTGCACTCTGAGCAGGGCTTCAGACCACCCAGGACATCTCCTGTCTGGGGACTGGGAAGACCCTGGGCAAGTACATTTCTCTACATGGGTTCCCTGTCAGCGCTTCCAGCAGGGTCTCCAAAACAGTCTCCTGCCTTCACTTCAAAGCCTGCCCCTAGGTCACCTGGCTTCCTCCCACCCTTAACAGGAGACTTCCACCTGCTTTCCCATGGGCTCCTGGCCCATGCTGTAGGGGATCTGAAACCTCTCATCTAGGCTGTGAGCCCCAGACCCTGGAGACCCCCAGGGCCCCACCCTCTCCTGCTGCCTCCTAGCAGAGATATTGGGATTCCAGGGGGCTGTTTCAGACTGCGGCCTGGAATCAGCAGCTGGGTGGGACCCACTGTGTCTAGCCCAGTAGCCCTGGCTGTGCTGTCACTGACCCTCTTATTTTAATAGCACTGAGAAATGCCCCCACAGTGCCCTCCAGGAGCTCCAAGGAACCCAGAAGCATCCCCCAGCCCTGCACAGAATCCTGTGCTGTACTCACCACGGGAACTCACTGTGCAGTGATAGAGTGAGCAGCTGCCAGGCTCCAACCTTTTAAACAGTGCTGGCTCCTCCCCTTCCCTGGGAGAACTGAAACTTAGTGAAACGACCCAAGATTGCTGCCCACTCCCCACTCTATACAAACAGAGCTCAGAAATGAAACTCACCCTTAGGGGCCTTTGGCTAGGTTCTAAGTTCTGGAAACTGCATATTTTGGGCTCAGCCAACCAAGACCTACTATATGAACACCAGCTCAGATGGCTGCCTGCTTTCCCTCCACTGGCCCAGCTCTGTGCTGCTCTTTCTGCTGTAACAGTCTGACCTCCTCTCAGCTGAACACAGCCTAGATGAGCCTTCCCTTTTCACTGGGCTACTCCAGGGGCACCAGAAGGGGCAGATGCAAACCAACCCAGGACTCACTGAGGAACCCTGCCAGTCCTTCTGGGCATCTGTGACTGCAGATCCTGAGGGCTGAGTACACTGTTCCTGCAGGACTGGTGAGGGTGGACAGATGCTGGCATTTGTGGCAGAAGGAGGGTAGGCCCTGGGCCCTGCTGCACCCTTTCCCCTACATTTCAAAGCAGACCTCTGATCTGCAGAGAACTCCCCCTCCCCCCAGCTCAGGGAAGCAAGTGCCTCTCCTCAGAACCCAGGGACTGACTTGCTGCAGCCCTTTCCCTGAGTTGCCTGCCCTGGGACTGGCAGGATAGACACCAGGCTCCCTTTGTGTTCCCCAAAGAGCAGAGCCCTGTCACAGGGTCTTGACCTCTGTTTCCAGTCTGAGGGCAGAGCCTGTGGCAAGCACCTAGTCCATGCTGGTGGTTTTTGTAGGCGGGATCAAGCATGGCTCCGGGCGTGCAATGTTTCTGTGGCTCTAGGATGCATGGTGATGGGGACGGCAGATTCAGAGACTTCAGATGATGTCATCCTGTGCTGGATGCTTTGTTTTGCTTCCTTCTTCCTAACCCCTTTCTCATACCGTCTCTCTCTCTCCCGCTCCACCCACCCCCTCCCGTCCCTGTCGCATTTCTCAGTCAGCTCAGACTTAGTTTCGGTTTCGTTTCTCTGGTTCTTGGGAAATTAACTCAGTCTGTACAGAGAAACAGAAACGGATTCAGGACTCAGGCAAGGGAGAAAGCTGGAGGGAATCTGCTATCAGTGGGAGGTGCCTTAGGGAAGCCAGGGTCCCTGAAGGAGGGGCAGCTGCGTGATCAGTGGGCAGGGCTGGGAGGAGGAGACCTAGGGAGGGTTTGTGGCAAGGGAAAGGAAGCCTGGACATAGAAGAAAGAACTGAGCTGGACTGGGATCCACGGGCGGCTTTAGAGAAAGGACCTGCCTAAGGCTGTTAGTCCCCCTTTACTCTGACTGCCTGGCGGCAGGAGCCCGAACACCGTTTTGCTGGTGCAAACCCAGATCTCCTCAGGAGATATCCCTGGGCCTGCTTCCTGTACCAGTTCTGTTTGTTTTCTCTTTTGGTATTGTCACCACTTCTCAGAGGTGGCTGTGTTTCATGCAGGGCGTTTGGACTGGAGAAAAGTGTCTGAGCGTGTAGCAGGCGGGCATAGACACAAATTTCTCTAGGTTTACATTAGAGGAGGCTGTGAGCAAAGGCAGTGGAGGCAGGAGAACTTGGGGACCAGAAAACAGTCTATAGTCAGAGCTCATTTCCAGCTTCCCTAGAGAAAGGAAAGGCGTAGTGGCCACTGGGTGCTGCCCTCTGGTCACCCTTTCCAGTTACCAAACACACAGATGGAGACAGCAGGTAGGCAGGGGATTGCCATGGTGGCTTGGATGAGATGTCTGAATAGTCTTGGACATCTGAACACTTGGCCCTTGGCTTGGGTAGTTTAGGAGGTATGATCTTGCTGGCGGAAAAATGTCCCTGGGTGCAGGCATTGAGAGTTTAACGACTCATTTGTCATTTCTAGTTCACTCTGCTTGGTGCATGTCGTTCAAGATATGAAATCTCAGCCCACCTGCTGCTCAAGAAACCTTCTGCCTCCACCCTTCCTTGAGGGAGTCTCATCCTTCTGGAACCATAAGCCCACATAAACCCTACCTTCTACAAGTTGCCTTGGCCATGGTGACTTTGTTGTTGTTGTTGTTGTTGGTTTTTTTTTTTTTTTGAGACAGGGTTTCTTTGTGTAGACCTGGTTGTCCTGGAACTAGCTGTAGACCAGGATGGCCTCAGACTCACAGAGATCCACCTAACTTTGCCTCCTGAGCATGGGGACTAACATGCCCACTGCCCACCCATGGTGTTCTATCAAAGCAATAGAAAAGTAAGTAAGACAGCAAGAGGGGAAATCTATAATTTCATATGACTTGACCAGATGTCAGCATACCCTGCAAAGTGGAAGCATTGTGTTATAGCTCTTCGTGGCATAGAGCTGGACACTGCTGGACTCACCAGGGCAGCTTGTGTGAGCTAAGACCTGCTGTTGTATTGGTGTCCTCCTTTTCCTTCTCCTGAAACACAAGTGACATCATTCCCTTGAATGAAAAAAAAAAAGGAAGGACATGACTGTCCCTTGTAGGGTCCAAGGAAATGCTGATGTGTCATGTCTGCTTCTCGGCCTGTGTCCGAGAACGTGCGGAGGGTGTCGGGGATTGACAACACGGAGACTTGTTCAATGATGTAAAGGAAACTTTAAACAGGCTCCAAAAAGGCTCAAGAAAACTTCCTAAGAAAGGCTCCCACCAGAGAAGCTTCTGCTCTCTCCTCTACCCTGGCTGGTTCTGCTCTGACCCCAGAGGTGGATGTGTGTGGGTTTTTAAGGTGCGGTTAGTCTTTGGACAAGGTCGAGGTCAGGGCGGTTTCCGTGGGAAGGCCTTTTCCAGGAACTTATTGTATCGTTTTTAGTAAACATGTTTACATGTCTTACAGCTGCCTACTCCCAGGCAGAAGGGGAAGTGGGTCTCTGCTCAAGGTCTGGTGTCCCCACACTGATAGAAGACCCCAGACTCAAATAGTATGTAAGAACAAAGAGTGATTATTATACCACATGCTTGTGGGGCCGTGCACCTGTGCAAAATGGCGAAGAACCCGAGAGGAACACGTAGGCTCCTTTTAAGCACAGCCAAGGGGCGTTCCAGGAGCCATTAGGTCATCTCAAACTTAATTGGTTAAGCTCTCCGAAGCTTACAAGAATTTCTATCTAGTTCTCCAGGAGATACAGGTGGCTGACCACTGAGAGCAGTCACTGCAAGAAAGTTCCTTTTAACTAAGAAATGGTGAGAAGTTATGCTGAAATCTGTTTTGTGAGTTTTTCTCTTTTCTGAGTCTGGTAACAAGGTAGATTGTGTCTAGACTTAGTGTTAGCTCTAGGAAAGTGAGGCCTGTGACCTCAGTTTTACACAGAAAACTGAGAAGGCAGCTGAAACCTTGGCTGCTGCTATTAAATTGACTAGCCTAGTCATCAAACAGCCTCAGAGTTCTGAGAAGGATAAATTTTACCTGAGTTAGCAATTAAAATGGCAGAGATTTACTTGCTGGCCACCTAGACAGCCACCCCAGGGCCCTCCACAGTCATTGAGGGCAGAGGTCTCAGGGCAACATCAGTCTTTGACTAGCAGGCCCCAGAAGGTCTAACAGACTTCCGGTGTAATAGCGACTTGTGGGAGGACTAGCCTACCTTTGTTTAGGCAACTTGAGGCAGTGGATTCCCCAGTGTCCTATTTTGTCAATGGACTGAAGAGGGTCTTTGCAGCAGTTGAGATGAAAGGCAGGCTTGCTCACTGGCTGGTATTGCCACATTTGAAGCAAGTTCTGGGTGGAGGTTTTTCTGCACTCAACCATCTTCTTTGGAGGAAGTAGGTAGGGGTGCTGCCAGGATCTGGCATGTCTCTCTATCATGAAAAACTTTTTAATTAAACATTTTGAATGCCATATTCTCCAGATCTCTGAGCATTTGAGGACTATCTGCTTATTAGGTATAGATACACTTGGTTTTTAGTTACTTGCTTTAAGCTCAACCCTGAAAAAATATACTGGGGACCAAGTAAGGCTTATCCCTGCAACTAATTACATCAGTACTTAGCATGACTACAATTAAAGAACTTGATCATTTATAAGCATGGCTATTTACTTGTGTTCCTTAACTGTCTACAATAATTTAGCAGCTCTCATAAGTCTAAGACTTCACATTACACTCCTGTCAGGTTTAGCTTAAAAAAAATAATGATTTTTGAATTAAAGCTCTTCTGGTATTAAAATAAAACCTTTATTCTTAGACAATGGGTTCAGTAAAGAAACAAAAATAGTCAGTTCTGTGAATAAAAACAGAACCAGTTTGTACCAAGCTGTTAAGGAAAAGTGACAAATGAAGGATCCTAGGGTGAGAAGGGAACAGAAGAAAGGGGGCTTGTGAGTTGAGGTGTGGCCCATGAGCAGGGACTGAGGGAGCATAGAGGCCAGCACTGCCCTTGACAGGCCATGGGGGTTCTCTGCTCAAATGCTCAGCTCTGGGAAAAGGACCCTTTCGGGGCACCAGGCATTACATTATAGATTATTCATCTTATTTATCAAATATATATTGCTGCTTATTTAAGTTATCTAGAAGCTTGGTGCTGAACACTTGGCAAAAACCTAAGTACATAGGTGTAAATCTTTAAGTTAGCTTTTGTTAATCTGAATAGATCTTTATAACCTTAAGTTTTTTATCACCATATGGAATATATTTTAAAGCAGAGTTGAATCACATAGGTACTGTGTTGTAACAGGTCTAACCATATCATCATCCAAAAGTCAATATCAATCTAAAATATTTGAGACTTGTTGCTTCCTTAGTCTAAAAGGAGATACAATTAACAGAGCTCATTAGGACTAAGACGTGTACTCTTTAACCTTAGTAAAAGGTGGCTGCCAGCCATGTAGCTGCTTACAGCATGATGAGGTCACCAGCCAAGATGTGGGAGAGCTACTTGGTTGCTGTTTGAAACATGCCTTTCTTAACAATACATATGCACACATGTGGCGTCTGTGCCATGAGCAAGTCGGAGGTATCGGGAAATGAAAGATAAGAAATCCAACCGTTTGTGCTAAGAGAATGCGTCTGCTGCCTTTATTGCCAGGAGAATGTGTGTGCCACACCTGTGTGTCTTCATTGCAAGTGCTAAGAGGTCTCTCTCTCTTATAGAGAGGGAGCAGGCTTATATACAGGCGTACAGGACAGTGGAAAAACCCCAGGTGGAAGAGATCATGTTTTCCTTGTGCTAGATGTTGATGTCAGTGGGGCAATGCAGGGACAGTAAGCCAGGACTAGAAAACAGGATGCACCTGTTGACTGACCAGTGACTTGCAGAGACCCCATGGGGGCTGGGACCCAATACACATACCCACAGTTGAATCCAAATTACATACACACAGAGTTAAATCTAGCTTACATTCACACATATAGTTAAGTCCAAGTCACACACACACACACACACACACACACACACACACACACACACACACACACACACACACACCTGATGGGGGAAGTCTTCTGTATATACGTTTGTCTTATTGGTTGATGAATAAAGCACTGTTGGCTGATAGGGAAGGAAGATAGGTAGGACTAGGAGTTGAGGAGGATTCTGGGAAATGTAGTAAAGAGGGTGGCCATGTGATTCTGGGAAGAGAAGACACATGTAGCTAGAGCATCCTGGGTAAGGTAAGTCCTTGTAAAAATATACAGATTAGTAGTTATGGGTTAATAATTAAGTCAGAGCTAGCCATTAAGAAACCATAGCCAAAGGCCAACAGCTTTATAATTGATATAGTGTCTCCTGTGTTATTTGGGGTTGATGCGACATTGGAACCAGGCTGGCGGGAAGAGT